GGTGATGATAGAGGAGAAGAACGATAGGACGGAGAAGGAGTTGTTGTATGAAAAGAAAAGAAAGAAAAAGGAGACAAAGAAGAAGGGAGGAAGGAAGGAGATGGAGAAGGAGAGAATGAAAAGATTGGACAGAGAAGAAGGTGTGATGATGGAGAACACAAAGGAGAAATGGATGGAGGAGGAAAGATGTCATAGAAGAAGGAGGAGGGACAAGAAATGGAGGATGGAAAAGAGAAGAGGAGAGAAGAAGAAGGAGGAGGGGGGGAAAGAGAGAGAGAGAGAATGAAGAAGGCAGAACATCTGAACGACCACTTGTGGAGTCGTTTCTCCTCTGGTTCCTGCCATCCCAGAGGTCAACATGAGGGGCAGCAGAGAAGCTCCGTTATTGTAGAAACAGAGAAACTGATCCTGGAGCAGTTTCATTGACTGATGTTTTACAGACACTGGTCCAAACCATCTGATCTCCTGTCAACGACAAAGTCCCTCTCCAGAACTGAAGCCTCATGGACTTCTGTCGTGGCTCCTCTTTCACATAAAACACCCTGTGGTTTTTGGGGTGTTTTTATTTTTTTTTGGAGGGGGGTTGTATTTTTTTTTGGCTCCTGCTCCAGTTGGCCGGCCTCCACGGAGCCTGAAGGAAAGTCATGGCGTGTGGATTTGCCACTTATCACACTCAGGCACGCAAGAAATTAAAGGCTGGGTGTCCCCAGGTGAACGCTCTGTTGGTCAAGGTGCTTTGCATCGCAGTCATTACATTACTGCTGTTCTGCACTGATTGTCTCCTGCTCTGAGGGCGAAAAGACGGGGAGGAGGAGGAGGAGAGAGGGGACGGTGGAGGGATGTGCAATTGCATGCATAAGCGAAAAGTTTGGAGGATCAGTTCTGCATGATTGTCCCGCTCCAGTCAGTGTCCTGTGACTCTGCAGATCGGATGCCGATGTGCGACGAGGAGTGAGGTCCAAATGTCCACTGTCCTACGGCTGTCCCACTGCGTTGTTCATGAGATTACAGGAGTGGGGGCTGGAAAAGTAGTTGTTTTTTTTTTTACCAGAAAAATTGAACCGTTAGCGTAAGAGATAGCAACAATAGCTGAGTAAGAGATAAACACCTTAAACATCATCATTCAGGATTCAAACTCTGATAACAGTTAAATGTATGTACAAAAAATGTTAAAAGTTAGCAGAAATGTTTATAGGAAAACACTTACAGTGAAGCTAACAAATAAATATGGAGACAAAAGTTCTACAAGAGTTTAAACAGAAAGTTTAGCAGCGTTAGCAAATAGTGAAAAGCTAGCAAACACAGGTTGTCATGCAAAACTACTACGATTCATCACATATGTAGTAGTTCAGTTTACACTCAAATAAGGCCAAAAACTGTGTGATCTAAAAAGGTCACTGAACGTTACCCTTAAAGTGAGCAAAAAGCTAATCTTTGAGCAAAAATAAAATCACAATAACAGAAATAAAGCTAGCTAAAATATAGCTAAAAAGCTATTTTACCTTATAACTATAAAAGGGCCATTAAATAACTTACAGTAAGTAAGTTATATATAAGGATACTTATTTCCTAAATTACTTTAATTCTGAGGGCCACATAAAACCCATCAGAGTGCGAGGACTGGCCCCCAGACCAGACTTTGAGGAACATGTCAGTTGTCAAAGAAGAAGCTGTTTATTCTTTGTTCAGACCTGGTTTGACTCCGTAGAAGTCCTGGTCCTGGCAGAGAGTCAGAGCTGAGCCCAGAACCTTCAGCTCTTTATTCTCCTAATACATTATTGAAAGCTATTCTTGCAGCTGCTCTCGCAGAACAAAGGGGGAGCGGTCGTCATTCCCACTTCACAGGCACAAACCGGAGGATATTTTGGGAAACTTTTGTGCGTTGGATGTGTGCGTCTGCAAGTGTGTGTGTTCCTTGTTCCTGGCTCTGTGATGATCCACCAAACTTTCCTCCCTCCAGGCTAAATATTGTCTTGGCATCTGCGGCTGTAATGAGTGTGCTGAAAGTCTTTTGTTATCACCTTGTTAAGGAGCGCGCTCCTACTTTATATTTCAGCCGTTATTATCTGCTCGTCAGACAATGACGATGACAATGACGTTCAGGGTTGAAGAAGCCAAGAGATTTTTGTCTGTCTGCTTATGAACACTCCCCTAGGAGGCGCTATAATCACAATTTGATGCTTTGAGTGCAACATTGGGGGGGGGGGGCAGTGTAATCATCACTGTGCTTCTATCACACAGCGCTGGTGAACACAGCACGGTGTTAAATCCAACTTGCTGGGCTGAATTATTACACTTTCCTCCTTTTCCCCTCACTTTTCAAACCAGAGCCAAACTTCAAATGTCTCCGACTCACTGAGATGTTACACTGTCGCTGCACAAGTCTGGATTTTAGGTTACAAATCCTCTGAGCCCTGCAGGCCGACCGAGCGAGACCCTGAGTCAAGAGCTACAGCGCTCTGGGTGTATATGTGTGTGTATGTATGTGTATATATATATACTTTGCTAAGAGACAGCTACAAAAATATAAAGTTTGCCTAAAAAAAGTAGATAAAACATCAGAAAGTTCCTCTAGATAAGCCATTAGCCAAGGGACTAGCCAAACATTAGCCGTCAACCAGCTAAAGAACATGAAAACACCCTTACATGCTAAAATGTGGGCAAATAATAATTCCATAAATGTCAATTAAAAAATAATTAAATAAACTAAAATACCTCAATGTTTGGCAAAAGTGAGTGTCGACGAAGCTAAAACAAAAAAAAAGGTTACATTTGTGAGGATGAAAACAAAAAAAAAACGTATCATATTAAAGTAAGGTCGTCGGATAAAAATGAAAGCGTTGCCGTCGACACCGGTTATGTCCTCTTTTTACAGTGTGACAGGTTCTTATGATAAACTACACCAACAATTATTTTACCTGTCGCCTCCGCGCCGACCTCAGTGAGTTTACTCTCTGGTTTTCAGGAAACTGTTAAAGTCTTCAGTCGATCCTACAGAGACACTTCTTCTTCTTACCTGATGGATTTTACAGTTCACCGTGGTCGGCTGTATCCAAGGGTTCTCCCTCTCTCTCTCTCCCCACCCCTCCCCTTCCTGCCCCCCCCTCTCTCCCCCTGATGAACACACATCACTGCTTCTTCATCCACAGAAGAAAACAATCTGTTGGAAGTGGTGGATCTGCTCAGTTGCTAACAGTGGATGTTCTCAGCAGCTGCTAAATGTGTCACACACTCTCCAGCAGCTATAATTCTCTGCTGCTGCTGCTGCTGCTGCTGTTGTTGGTGATGCTTGCTCTTTGTCATGTGGACAGTCAGTCTTTTACTCGACACTCTGAGTAAATTAAAATGTTATGTTAAACATCAGCCAGCTCTTAATGTAGCAGATAATATATGACGGTGCATTTTGTTCAAACCAGCCACCAAATTCAGTTGTTTTCCAGCTAACTTTTAGCTATTTTTGGGGCTTTATACAAAATTGTCTAACATATCCTCTGTGTTTAGCTATTTTTGGGGCTTTATACGTTATTATTTTAAGCCAAAACTTCAAGCTTTTCCTGCAAATACAAAATTGTCTAACATATCCTCTGTACTGTAAAACTTTCCTGACTGTTTCTTGGCTATTTTTGGTGTAAAATGTGTTTACCTTTTTTTTTTTATTTTTTTTTTTTAGAGATTATCATTTTGTTGTTGTTTATTTTAACCTTAATGGCCAACCTTTAGTTCACCTGCTTTTTTCTGTTCTAATATTTATCTTCTATGTTTGCTAATTGTCCTTTATCTCAACAAAGCTGCATTTGTGTGGCAGCCGTATGAATATGATCAAATGTAAAAATCTAAAACTGAAAGTTGGTAAGTTTTAAAGTCCATATATTTGTGTCCTAATGAACTCTGATGAAGTGTATTTTTCTGACGTTCTCAGGTTCCAGACTCTTCCAGGAACCTACAGTACATCCTGCTCCAGACTCCTGCAGCCGCCACTTCGGCAGGTGGCCGTGGGCTGAAGATGATGGTTGTTACAGGGACATTTTCTGTTCTCTGTGGCCCTTAATGATTCATAATAGTGGGAGTGCAGCCTGCTCTCAGGTCAGACTGTTCTCCACCCTGTCCGCTCCACTCCAGGAGAACTTCCCACCTAAACCGACGGAGCCAGTGTCCAGACGGTGAGTAAAGAGGATTAGAATCCAGAAGACCTCATTGATAATCTCAATATAATATTGCATTAATTGATTTAGTTCAGAATCACTCCAATTAACAGCGGGATAGATCTCAAGTTAAGGGCATCTGGCTTCTTCTGGAACCCTGAGCTGAACCTTCACGCCACATTTATCTAAAACATAACACTGAGTTTAACTTTAAATGTATACATTCAAAGCAATAGTACCAGAAGTTGTTACATTGTGTTAAACAGTCTAATGTGAAGAGGATTCCCCTGTCTACCAGTAGAGGGAGCCAAAGCAACACCAGTTATACACATACCGCAGTTTGAGATCGACTACGTTGGGCCGTAGCTGAATAAACTACAGCATGTCGGTGTGATATTGAAAATAGAACCAGTTTATTCATTAAAAAACAAAGTCTAGAGGGAATGGTTTTGTCCTTCGTCGTAGATGACTTTTAAAAATGTAAATGGACTTTTTAAAATGTTAATTTTTACAGGAGTGGCCACCAGGTGACACTGTTGACCTACTGGCTGAGTGACTGCATCTTTTTCATTATACTGTACATGCTGCATATTCTCAGAGTAAGTTGCAGCTGTGATCAGGCTACTTCAGGCCAACATTTAGGCAGACATTATAAACACTTACATATTAAAGGTTCAAGGTTCAAGGCTGTGACCCCTGCGGTCAACTCCATATTAAACTGTTTATTCAGAAGGACAAGGACAGTGGTTCAAGGCTGTGACCCCTGCGGTCAAAGGTCATTAAAGGTCAGCTTTAAGGTAGCTGTGATCTAGATCTTTGCAGAAACCACGGGACAAAATGTAAACAGTTGATTCAGAGTTGAACTCATGAGGCCTTGTTGTTTATTAAGGAAATAGTATGAATCAACAGCTCCACCCTGTGGACAAAATACTGTAGCTTATGACGCGTGTCAATGAACCACGCCTGGAAAAAAAGGCCAGTGTTCAGTATTTAACCAATATAAAAAAGTAATTTTAATGTAAAATATTTTTTGAGTTCAGGACATTGTTTTTTTTCCACAGTTATTCCCCAAACATCTCAGCCGTGATGATCCTACAGAGCAGTGTGGATCTGTTCTTCATCGGTGTCTCCAGCATCGACATAACTCTGAGGTACATCTGTAAAAAAGAGTGGGTTTACATTCATACATCAATGATTCTTTAACATTTGTGGCTTTTTTAAATTATAAACTTTGTCGATTATACAAATTTATTTATCTTTAACTACTTAAAAAAATAGTAATCAGGTTTGAAGAGTCCTGAAATCAAAAGGCAAACTTAATACAGTGACAAATCTAATTTATATTTCGTTTAATAATTACATTTCCTGTTCTGTCAGTTGTACCGGGGACATGAGAGTCAGTCAACCATTTCATTACCCAAGCAATTATCCAAATACCTGGGCAGAGAATTTTAGTCAGTGATGCCTTCACTGCCCACAGTTCCGGGTTCTCCTCAGAGTCTGTGGTGGCGTGAGCCCTGGTGAAGTGCAGAGCAGGCCACCAGTCTGTCCGTCCAGACATTCTTTTTAGAATGATAGTTTTCCAGTCTGGTCTGTTTCAGGACACAAACACAACAAAGAACAAAGTATTGACTGTAAAGGAGTTATATCAGAAGTTACGGCATAATTACTCAGATCAATTAAAACATGTCATACTTTAATTGGAGTTTCTCAATAACGGCCTTCAAAAGCTTCCACACATCCAGGTTAGTTCTCCAGCAGGAGAAGTCCAACATGTCCAGAAGGATTTCTAAAGCCTTCGGCCCATGACAGCTTTTCTCTGTATAAAAAAAATGAACAAGGAAATTAATTTTTTTTTTTGCATTAAAAAAAAAAAATCTGATTTTTTTAATTATAAAATCTGGTCTTACTTGATTGGAGTAGAAGAGAACTGTACTCCAGCATTAACTCATGGCTCGGCACCAAAACATGAAGGGTCTAAAAAATAATTTAAAAAAAGAGTTAAATCAAAAACTCAAATTCAGTGACAGCAGGTATGAAGTTGTTTTTTTAGGTGAATGTGATTTGAATTTGTGTTTTTACTTCATCTGCACCTTGAGGATTTTCAACAGTTTCTTCTGTGGAGCTCCGTGCCTCTTCACATACTGGTACAGATAAACATGTGCATTGGGATTAGGTGGGAAACTGCTGTCGTGGGCGTAGTTTTTCAGGACGCTCAGGGCTGTGGTGTGATCCTGGTAAAACTCCAACATCTGACACATTTAGAAAGTCAGGATTAAACAAAAGATGTTTTTATTTATTTTTTTGGTTTCAGCAATTTGTTTGTTCTTACTTCAACATAACTGAGGATGAAAGGATCCCAGACACCGGGATGTTTCAGGATCTCCTTCAGATTTGAAGACACCTGTCTGAAGCTGTTTTGCATCTCTGTGTTCTCAACAAGGACATCATGGTCTAAAAAAAAAAAAAAAATCTTTACATTTATTCGCACATCTTTGCCCTGTAGGTGGCAGTACCCAAGGTAAATGCTACAAATAAAAAGCAGATGCTAAGTGGTGAAAGGCTGTGGAGTTGTGTACAGTCTCACCACTTCCGTCGTTTGCAGACTTTTTGTCACACCAGTTGATGTAGTCCAACAGACTACTGTACGCATGGATCAGTTTAGTCTTCTGGTACTGAATCACCGACTCCTTTCCGTATCTCCAGGTCTGCGCGACAGAGAGCTGATGCTTGGCATCTTCTATGCAGCCGTGGAGCATCAGGTGAAAGGCGTGTTCCAGAGAGATCTTAACATATGAAAAAAAAGTCCAACCAGGTAAAAAAAAATGGAGACAACTGTTATTAGTTATTAGGTTCAGTCAGACTAAAAAGAAAGAAGAATGGCGTACCATCAGGTAGTGTTTGGAACTTGAATGTTTCATTCGTTCATAGATGTTGTTGTAGTCCTGCAAGGTCGAGTTTGGGTGATGGTGAAGGATCTCGGTGCAGAGTCTCCAGACAAGCTGAAGGTAAATAAAACAAGGTGTTCAAATTAATCTGTTTAAAATTGTTAGTACTCAATTTCCTAATCTGTCTATATACATATTATACCTCTTTATTTTGCTGTGTGGATCCTTCACTCGTACTTTGTAGTATCTGCGGAAAGTATACCATATACTCTGTTGCCTCCTGCCATCTGTGATGCAGCATGGCTTCTCTGATGTGCTCCAGACACATCGTGGTGCTCTGACGGAACCCTCTTAACCCAGACGAACCTGTAAGTGAGTAATGACACGCATAGCATGGTTTGAAATGTTAATGTAGACTCTATATTATCTGTAACTTGTGTTGACAACGTATTACTTTAAGTTGTTCATTTCCCGTCAGTACTTACTGGGAAACATGGGTTCAGGCACAGGAAGCTTGGATTGTCTTCCTCTTTTCGAGAAAGGGTCTGAAGAATCCTTGTCTTCCTCAAAGTCGTTAACAATGTCAGTGTCTGGATCAGTGTCGTCCATGACTGGTAATCAGTAATCAGGAAACACTACTATATAAGGAGACAACCACAACAAAAAATGTCAAGTTGAATAAGTCCTTCTCAACCTTTCTCGGTGAAATAATCACGCTAGAAGCAAACTAGATTCTAAATAGCTATATATAGCTATATTCACAAGTAACCATGTGCATTTAATTGCATCCAACTGAAAAACAACTCTGCTATTTGTAGTTTTTTTTTACGCTATATACGCTAATAGATGCTATTACCTTCTCGGGAGTTTTGCGTCAGCCGAACGTGCTAACATTAGTTAAAACATGAGACAATATATATAGATGGTAATTTTAGTACGATCTCTGCTATTCGCGGATATATATATTCGAGTATTATTACAGACTAGTTATTAAAAACTCACGTGTTTCTCTTGTTATGTTTACTTCCTTATTTTGGTTGAGGATAGGGAAGTGGTGAGAAAAGGCGCACCGTGATTGGCTGATCAGCCGGAAGAAGTGGCGCAGAGAAATAATTTTCTCATCTTCTCTTGTAATGTGTAAATGTAATAACAAACCGTTTTATAGCAGCAATTATGAACGAGCTGTTTTTTTCGGTGATGTTGCTATGACGACAAACTGATTTAAAAATTTTTTTTTAACATGACAGTTACTTTTCTAGGTTGATCTTGAGCCTTTTAAGCAGCTCTTAGTGTTAGATTGAAATAATCGGCGATATGGCAGCATAGGATCATAAATAGAGAAAACGAAATCTAATATGTTTGTGGTAGATTTTTTTTGAGAGACGCCAATGTGAAAGTTCAATTTTGACCGGAGTGAAGTTGATCCCAAACATCTGTAAATCATACATATTATTGTCATATGTTTGTGCAAACTCTCCTTTATCACCTTGTCTCTCCATTTAGGATCGTTTCCATAGTTCCAAACAACATCCTGCTGATGTGAAACCTCTCCCTGCCAGCCTACACTGATTCCTACACCCAGCCGGATCTGAGGTGCTGACGTGTCGGCTCCTCCAGCCCAGTCCCCCAGCTCCAGCAGCTGAAACCGACACCGTCCACAGAAACTGCCAGCATGGCAGCAAAACACTTTTACCGACAAGGATTTTTACTACTTTTATTCAATTTCATTTCCACCGCTGCGTTAGAGAAAAGGTTCTCCGACCTTAAGAGATGCGCAGACGAGGAATGCAGCAGTAAGTAATTTTTTTGGGGGGGTTTATTTTGGTGGGTTTTTTCTCCAGGACTTCATGGATGCATCTCTGTTCTTCTCCCCCTCCATCCTGATACTACAGATAACCATAAATTGTGTCCTTATCTCCTGACCTGTTGCCGGTCGATACGAGCAGGAAAATAATTTACTTCAAATATTGTGACGCAGGTTTGCCTTTGTGCTGCATATTATTGAAAGCAGACACGCTCCTGTTATTCACCGTTAGCCTGGCTCGGTTATCGCCGGTATGCATCCACTGTAGGAAGCTTTGCTGCCTGTTAGCTCGGGCCTGTAGAAGCTAATATTAGCCGCTAATTAGCCGCAAACACAGCAAGCGTCACTGCTAATGAATAAACACAGGAGCTGCGTTAGCTCGAATCAAAACTCCTTTAGCCTAAATTGTTTTATTATTATTTAGTACCAGACAATGTCATTCCACACCGAGACACCCCTTTGGACTCAGTCTGTAGTTTGATAAAGTATTTTTCTTTTTGTTAACAACAAAGTCAAACTGTTACCGATGGCTATAGTTGGCTTTAGGCTATATATCTAGACTCCCAAGAAACAAAGATGAGGCCTAGGGGAACAAATAACTTTTTTTTCAAAACAGAATATAGAGCTAGTGTCTTTATCTCAAGGAGAATTATTTTTGGTGATAAAACAGTTAAATGGTCTAAGTATAACAAATAGCCCAGACCTGGGCTGCATCAAATAATGACATTTTCTAATAAGAGCCCAAATTCTAACTCACAAATTAACAAATTCTCACTAGCTTTGACCATAGATCATATGTCAGAATTGCCAAAAACATGAAGGGTCTAAAAATAATTTAAGAATTGGATGTAGGTACACCTTGGTGATAATGAAACTGTTAATGTCAACAGGTAGGGTTTCATTTGTTTGTAACATAATTTGGTTACCACACTTCCGTGTTGTTGTCTGGATTGAGACTGACACTACATGTACAGAGGAAAACAGACAATGAAAATGTATATACATGATGAAGATGAGTGCCCTATTCTTTAACCGATGTATACATTGTGAGAAATATTGTAGTGTGTGTCTCTTTTAATTAATCACATCTCTCTCTCTCTCTCCCAGTGTTACTGTGTCGGGGGAAAGCAGTAACAGATTTCACTGGACCAGATTGTCGGTTCCTGTCATTTAAAAAATCAGAAACTATATATGTTTACTACAAATTGGCAGGTAGAAGAACTGACATGTGGGCTGGAAGTGTGAGTATAAATCGTTAATTATTATAGTTTAATAATTAGTCACACCCTGTTTGGCCTAATTAAAAGAATCAAATGTTTTTCTCCTCTGTCTGTTCTTGCCTCTGTGTCTAGGTTGGAAGTAGCTTTGGATATTTTCCAAACTATCTGATTGCTGTTAATCATCATTACACAGACAAAGAAATTGAAGTTCCCTCAGAGGTATTAAAAATACTCTGGCTAACTTATCTAGTGATGGTAAAATACTCTGTTAAAGTGCTACATGTGTTGTCATCTAAATTCTATTCTTCTTTTTCAGGAAACAGATTTTGTCTGTTTTGACACTGGTTTTGACAAGTTCGACAATTATAATGTAGATATACTCTTAGGCTCGTTAGTGGGGGAGAATGACGGTCAAATCAGTGGGACACCTGAAGTAACTCAAGTGGTGGACGATATTAACAAAGAAACACAATCACTGGAAGAAGAGACTGAGACTAAAAAGCAAAGTGAGCATCAGGAATCCTCACAGGAGGAGAATAAAGTCTCAGTCGATCAGGATGCTTTGTCACCTGAGCCTGAAGAGGTAAACCAGTTGCCTTCTGTAGAAGAAGCTTCAGCTACATCTGAATATACTGAAAAAGATGGAAGAAGCTACATCTGAATATACTGAAAAAGATGAAGAACACTCAGCAGAGATGGTTCATGAAAAAGTTCTCTCAGAGACAAGTGACACCAAAGAAACATCCACCCATCCAGAGGTGGAGTCTGTGCCTGAAAATAATTTTCCACCAGTTTCTGAGGGGAAAAAAATCCCTAAGTTAAAAACTACTTTTGGAACAACTTTTGATGCAGTGATTTCTGATGAAAAGATTACTACAAAAGTTACAACCTATGAGGATGAAGAGGAGAGCACGGGTGAGGAAAGTCAGCCTGCAGACAGTGTTGGTGTAGTAGAAGAAACTCCGTTACTGTCGTTCTCTGAAGAAACAGCTAACACTCCTGAGATTGAGATAGAGTCTGTTACCAAGGAACAGATTCCTCCAGAAATCGAGTCAGTTTCAGTCTCTGAAGGAGCACAAATCCCTGAGTTAAAAACCACATTCGGATCGACCTTTGATGCTGTCATTAGTGATGAAGATATCACAACAAAAGTCACTCCTTATGAGGATGAGGTGGAGGACATCAGTGAGAAAAGTCCACCTGCAGACGATGATGATGTTCCAAGGGATACTCCACTACTGTCCTTCTTGGAGGAGACGACACAGATCCCAGAATTTGAAGTAGAGTCTGGTACCGATGATGATTTTCCAACAGTAGTTGAGACAGTCTCAGTCTCCGAGGGAACACAAGTCCCTGAGTTAAAAACCACATTCGGATCAACCTTTGACGCGGTCACCACTAATGAAGATATCACAACAAAAGTCACCACATATGAGGATGAGGAGGTGAGCACGAGTGAGGAAAGTCCACCTGCAGACGATGATGATGTTCCAAGGGATACTCCACTACTGTCCTTCTCGGAAGAGACGACACAGATCCCAGAATTGGAAGTAGAGTCTGGTACCGATGATGATTTTCCAACAGAAATCGTGACAGATTCAGTCTCTGAAGGAACACAAATCCCCAAATTAAAGACCACATTCGGAACGACCTTTGACGCAGTCACCACTAATGAAGATTTCACAACAAAAGTCACTCCATATGAGGAAGAGGAGGAAGACAAAGATTTGATAAAAGACCGTGAAGACCATGTTGATGTTATAAGAGACACTCCTCTACTGTCCTTCTCTGAAGACACAGTGGACAGTTCAGTGCCTGATTCACTCACACAGCAAGAAGCTCCTCCTGTGGAACAGGAAGAGAAAGAACCAGCTGCACAGGTGAAGAGCATGTGGACAACATTGGGTGATGCTGTTTTTTCAGTGGTCACCGGAGGAGAGACCACACCAGATACTAGTTCAGAGGAAGATGAGGACGACGACGAAGAAGAAGAAGCAGCAGCAGCTCAGGAAATCCCTGAAGTGGTGGAGGAAGTAAGAAAAGATGTAGAGGAAGAAGAGCCTGAAATCATTGAGCACATTCACTCCTCTGGTTCTGTCTCAGTACAACAAGATGAGTTAGAAACAGAACCAGATATTGGAACAACAGATGAACCGTTCCAGCACAAGTTAGAGAAAGAGGAGTTGTCTAATGATTTAGACCATGTTGTTGAAGACATCCAGACCGATCATACCTTAGACAGTAGTGAAGCTGAAGCACAGCAGGACATGGGTACTAAAGATGAAGACAGTCAACCAGGCTTACCTGATGTAGAACCAGAGTTTCGTGAGGATCCACCTACAGAAGAGGAGGAACATGAGAAAGAGCCAGAACTACAGGAAGAGAATGTGGAGGAGAAAGAGGAACTACTTGAAGATGAAAATGCAATTTTTTCAGACGACACAGAGCATCACATTCCATCGAATGAAAATGAAACTGTGACCCCTGAATTAGCCTCAGAGCCAGAATACAGTGATAGTGTAAAGAGGCTCACGCTGCTGCGAAGTCACTTCACAGAGGAGGCAATGAAGAGAGTCCAAAAGCATCTGGGTCTGAAAAACCTCTACAAAGTGGAGGCCATGTACGTCGACCTGGAGATGGAGCTGCAGCTGACTCGTCACTCACACAAAAGCACAATGCATGAGATCGAAAGTTCTCTGGAGGCCATCCTGGAAGCCTCTGAAAATAGTATCTTGGACCAGGTTGAAAACATGTTGGACAATAATAACAAACAACGGGGTCATGACCTGCAGCTGGACATGAGCAGTTTGGACGAGGAGACACAAATTCTGGACGACTTCCAGGAGCTTGCATTCAGTCTTCGGCAGAAGTATTCAACAGCCAGTGACAGCACACCTTTGGCCACAGAAAATGTTAACGATCAAGGTAGGTTATCTTTGTTTTTTGCTTTTTTAAATAACATTAATTTCTTGTTTTTTTTTCCCCCAATTTTTAAATATGGTTCTTTTTACTTCAGTGTCAAATAAATCCAGATATACTGTTAGGTATCACAGCTGCTGTGTACACCATGTCCTCATCTTTGTACAAGACGCTGTCCAACCCTAAAGGTGTCCTTACTGAGACATTGGAGATTGAATTTCACAGTCCTGCCAAGAGTGAGCTGCAGGCATCTACTAGAATGACAACACGCTCATGCTTTTGGAAATCACCGGCACAGATGATTGCAACTGACGTCACAATCAATTTTGACTTATTTTTAAAATCTATTCTATCTATTCTAACCCTGATGTGATTTCCTCTAAAACTGGAGCACACTGACTCTGGTAGTCTGACCGTGAGTACAGTATGTGGCCTCAGCCGTTTGATACAAGCAGATCCTCCGTGTGCCTGACATTTCACCTGCACTTGAAATAAGATCACCAAAGGCAGGAGTTCAGCATACAACGCTCAGTGGGACATGGGTCAAATCAAGGCATTGAAACAGCACTTGTAATGAACAAGTTTGAATTTGCAAATATAAAAAAAAAGTAATTGAATAGTTTTTTTAGTTTTTTTAAAACTGTCGTGATGTTTGGTGTTGATGTTTGGTGATGTACATTTTTTATTGTTTTAGGTCAACCTGAGCTAATCACTAAAGAAGATTTGCACTACTCTGATGAAGAAGACAAGCTTGTTGTAGTGCCTGAGTCTGAGGGTGAAGATAACCTGACAGTAGCCCATCATGAGGAGAATCCAACGGAGGAGCAGAGAGTGCACTCTGTACCTGATGTTAGTGTAGAGGAGGACGGTGGACGTTTTAATAAAAACAAGGAAAATCAACTGTCAGACGACATACAGAAGGTCCCACAGCCGGCTCTGGACAATCCTTTGGAAATGGGTCTTGGTGTGGAGGTGGAGCACTCGCACTCAGGTCAGTGAGCTTTCTTTTTGGACTTATTACTGTTTTGTTTGGGTCAGACCATTGTAAATATTGTGTCATTATTTTGAGCATATTGGACTGGACTAAACTCAACACTTCAACACAAAAGTTCTGTTTAGAAAGTCTTCTTATTTCACATTGTATCATTTCGTCTGATCTTCAGCTCTATTCGTTCAAATTGAGTTTCATTTTCCATTTTTTCCACTATGCTCACATTTGATGAAACTGTCAACTTTGTTGCTGCAGGGCCTTTGGACTCAGTGGAACCAGTGTCTGAAATTAATGAAGTCGAAGAAGGATTAATCCCAGCTGGACTTGTTGACTTAGGCAGCCTCCTTTCCTCCAGTAAAATTGAAGAGTGGACCGTAGTGGTAAGTCACAAGAATTGTGAGCTATTATACATGTTAAAGGTTTGTGAAAATATTCTTACCCCTGGGTTTATTTATTCACTTTTAACAATTCAGACTAAAGCTTTTCTACCATTTATCTCAAATTAAATGACAAAAACAACTTTTATAAAGACTGCGGGGTTTATTTGTGTGATTTTGTTTTGTATTCACAAAAAATGCGTTAAGTGTAGAAATGAAGAGAAAACTAGTGCAGCGACGGTGTCCAGTGTTCAGTGACCGCCTCCGATGTTCCGTGAACGCACCACGGCCCTCCCTCTGTCTTTTGTTGACTGAAGTTCAAACAGCCGTGTTTGACACAGACGGAAGCAGGCTGTTGCAGCACCACATAGAGGATCTTAAACGACACGGACAAGCTGATTATCACAATGAGACTTTCACCAACTCTGTCAGCGGGCTGTCAAATGAATTGAGCCTTAAAATCGCTTCAGTGTTTACATCGTTTGTCTGTATTTACAGCTGTAGCTTTAAGCTAACGTCCCTGTGTTTGTTGTTGCGGTGGTGACAGAGGTCTGACCGCTCGTCTGTAGTTTCACTTCACCCGCTGTTATTGCCAAGTCACCACCTGTGTTTACCGTCAGACCATATCGGCGTTTTGTTTTTAGTTATTTATAATTTTATTCCCAGTTTATTAGCATCCAGACGTTTAAGGCGTTTAACCTGACCTGTGTTTTGAAGCAAGGCTAACGTGTTAGCAACGTCAAAAGTACCTCAGTCTACTTCCTTTTTTTCTGTTTGAAAACCCTGGGAGAATGAACAGTGAACCTTTAACGGAACCAGGAGTGGAGTCTGTTCCATTTAACCTGCTGGTTCTCCAGTGGCTGCATCACGTAAGTGTTAAAACAGAGCCATATCAGCCCAAATGACCCGAGTTTAGTAAAGCTATCGTGATATGCTGACGTGTTATTTCTCATTTGCCTGCATATGGCAGATAGACACGCGCTGTTAAACTGTCCGGACGAGCAAAATGACGTATTAATCGTACTACTATGTAGAATGAACGGAGTAACCCTTTATATTCAAGTTGTCTGGGAAAGAAGCTTAAATACAACCAACCATCAAATAAACTATCTTTATACAGATTTTTTTTTTTTTTACAGAAACCTTTTTTTTGTCGAACAACTAGTAAATAAATGTACAATATATTGGTCTTTTTTGTCGAACTGGTAAATAAATGTACAATATATTGGTCTTTTAATAATGCAACATGATGTGTCAATCACAGATTTTGTGTTTGTTCCAGTATAACCGCCACATGTGAAGTTCAAAGGTTCCTTGAGGTTGCAGTAATACAGAATAATCAATGCTTTTGTCCTGAAACAATGATGTGATTTACTTCTTTCCGTCCGTAATACTTCAGGTACAAGCAGCCATTGTTGAACTATTACTTAGTACAATTACGCCCGACTTATAGTTTTAAATGTCAGGTGTCTTCATAGCTGAAGCACAAGGTGAATGTAGAAATGTGTTTCTTCCCGAGTCGCTGAACACAGTGTTTCAGTGTTGCAATGACTGTGGTCATGACAGGAAAAGAGTTGATTATTTTACAGTGCTCTGTTCCTCTAATGGTCGTTTCTTTTACATTCTGGTCAAACTGCTGCACTATCATCCCACAAAAACTAACATTTATTTCTAGTGAATTTGGATTGCAGCGCTCCTGTGTAAAGGTCTCGTCTGATTGATTATCTACCCTGATACCCTGGTGAACTGTCTTTACAGTGGTGTGAATACAAAAGCCAATCACTTTGCCAAGTCTCTGTTGCATTTAATGTCATCATTAAAATAAATACTGCTCACTTTAAAAAAAAAGTATAATGGTCACAATAATACCAAAAGTTGTCTTTGTTTGACCTACATTATGTGTTTAGCGTTGACATTTCCGAAGCTTTTGAAACATGCTAAATTCTGAATTATTTTCACTCTGTCTTCAGATGATTTCACTTCTTCCAGAGGAATGGAAACCAGGAGAAACCTTGTACGGCTGTCCGTGGCAGGCTGTGGTCGTCACTGCGTTAATCGGAGTCATGACCTTCGCCTTATTCTTATGGAAGACTGTGTTGGCTGTAAGAATCTCTCGCAAAATGTTTTTATGTCACATATTCAGGATTTTATTTGTTTACAGTCTCTTAAGAAAATGTGTAATAACAGTTTGTCAAATCCCTATAGGTGAAGAAGAAAGAATACCTTGGTAGGTTTGTTTCCCTCTTTGGATTCACATTATTTAGACCAACCTTTTTGGGTAAAATTAAACAGATTTTTGTGCTTTTGGAACAGTGGATGAAAAAAAGCTCACTGAGCAAATCCAAGCCCTCAAACAGGAGAAGAATAAAGCCCTCGCAAAGATTTCTGAACTCCAGAAGCAGGTGAAATATGGGGAGATAAAACTCTATATCAACACGCTTCATAAATAGTATTATTATTTTTTTATTACCTTTCTTTTGTTAAGACGGAGATTTTTTTTTATTATTACCTTTCTTTTGTTAAGACGGAGAAACTGAAGGAAAACCAAAAGCAGTCAAAGGATACAGTGAGCACTACAGTAAAAAAGATCCAAAATCTGGAGGTAAGGAAATATTGAAAAAATCTTATAGTTATGTGTTTGTTCCATATTGTTACTGTTGATGTTGTTGTTGTGTTTTATGAGCTTTAAATAATTGTCTTTTTGCAGAATAAAGTTTCAGACACTCAGTCGCTCAACGAGCGGATCACTAACGAAAAGAACACAATAGCAAAGCTCCTGGAGGAGGAGCGGGCGAGCTCCATGCAATATGAAGCCAGGGTAACGTCTGAAGCTTTTTCCCCTTTGATATAAAATTTCTCTCATGAATTCATAATAGTTAATATTTTAATTTTTGTAAAAGATAGAGAAACTGGAGAAGGCACATGACAAACTTCAGCTCAGCAAGAAGAAAATTCAGGATGTGCTCGCCAAGGTTCTGATCTTTTAACTATCACTTGGACTTTACAGTAAAGTCTTAGTTGTTTTAGTGAGATTTAATGAACTGATATGTGTTTCACAGACAACTGCTCTCCTGGATGAAGCCAAGCTCCGAGAAGATGCTCGAAATGTTCAGCACAAATGCCTTGAGAAAGAATATACAGCACTGAAAGAACAGAACAGGACGGTGAGACAAACCGAGTCCCTTTGGTGGATGTTTGACAGACACTCAGGACAATTGTTGTCTAAATGCACTCATTTCTCGTTGTGTTACCAAACAGCACAAAAGCACAATAAAGGGCTGGGAGGACAAACACAAAGAATTGAGTGAGCAGATTAAAACGTACCAAAAGTCTGAGAAAGAGCTGCAGGATTCTCTGGAGGTCAAAGATCACACCATCGAGGTCAGTATTTTTTCATTCTGCCATTATTATTATTATTCGTATTATTATTATTATTGGTACATCACATATTTCAACATTGACTGGCTCATTCCACACAATTGAATGTGAAAGTGTGTCATTGCAGGTGCTGTCTGAACTTCTGGCAGACTTGGACACTTGTGATCTACCTAAAGGAGAAAAACTTGTAGCGAATGGAGAAATTCTACCAGGTGAGTCCAGACCTGTCAGTCGTTCAGATTCAAGAATAATTCACATCCAAATGAATCGACTGAGGAATCAGACAAAGCCAATGGTTTGAAGGAACAACAAGGTTAAACAGTTGTTTATTGATTGTGTTCCACAGATAAAAAGGCAGCAATAAAGAACAGGATTAAAGAGATGATGGACGTTTCCAGGGTGAGATGTCAATAAGTCATATTGAATTTGCTCAACAAAAACAGTTTTTAGAACTACATTAAAACTTTGTGCTTTTTATTTCCCCAAATTCTTAGGTCCAAACCACACTCACCGTTGTTGAAGAGCAGCGTGATCGCTTCATGAGCAAGCTGTTAAGTGAAGAAAAGGCCAGAAAGGTTTTGGAAGGTTGGTTTAAAAATTAAAACAGGGTTCCCACACGTCCTGGAAAACTAAATAAAACAGGGTTCCCACACATCCTGGAAAACCTGGAAAATAAGGGGAAAACGCCTAATGTCCTGAAAACGAAAACGTTTTTTGAAAAAGATGTTTGTCCTATACCTGTTTCTCCCTGCGCTCTTAAGTGAATGCAAATTCTGCATATGCATACCTATTGTAACACTGTCCTTAATGGGCGATTTTGAAGCTGATTTTGGCCAATCAAATCAAAGCACGTCTCCTCAGAGCAGCTCTTCAATTGAACGTCCTAGAAAATACACTGGGGTCGAGAGTGGGAACCCTGATAAGAGTATCAACGGCTCATTTTGTCAGCATTACTTTGTCTTTATCTGTTACTAACGTTTGTCTTCCTTTGAAGAACAACACCAGGAGCTGGAACACGCCATTGGAACTATAAAAAGCGAGAAGAGCTACATTGAAAACCAGTTGAAGGTCCTGCAGCAGAAGAATGAAATCATGGTGGAAATGTACCAACAGAAGGAGAACGCACTGCAGCAGTGAGTGGAGGCCGCAGCAGTTACTCAGTGTTTTCTTGTTGCCACACACTGAAATATCTGGACTTGAACACCACTGTGTGTAGTGATGACCGATTACGGGGGAAAAAAAGGTGCTGCTGTTTAAGGCCGTGTGGTTTTTATGTTTCCTTCCAGGAAATTAACAAAGGAGGAGCTGGAGCGCCGCAGCAAAGAGACTCTGCTGTCAGAGGTGGGAGGAAAAGCTGTGGAGGCAGAGGAGCAGGTTAAACTTCTACGACAGCGCATCAGTGAAATGGAGGAGCAGATGAAGAAGACGGAGGAGGTCTACAAGGAGCAGGTAGCAGGAGTCACTGCAGTACTAGCATTTTATTGGTCATCTTAATACTCAAACAAACACAAAACTTCACCTGTTTTTCCTGTGTTTTAGATAAAAGAACAGGAAAACAAAACTCATTCAAACTGGGTAAGAAACGGTCGTTGACAAAGATTTCAGAGAACCTCAATAATCAACATGAAAGATATATACAGAATAAACAAATATATTTGTTGAATCTCTTTTTTTTTTTTTCTTCCTCCAGGTGAACGCTCGTAACGCAGAGAGAGCTCTGAACCAAGAAAAGGTTGAGTCGTCTAAGCTGCGTGACAAGTGAGTGAGACTTGTGACGTGTCTGTGAATATGTTAAGGCTGAAATACACTTGAACAAACACAGTCAATAAACTCGTTTTCCATGGTCTTTATTCAATTCCTGATTCAACTCCATTCTCACCTTCTGCCTGGACTTTTTGCCTCAAACAAAGATGTTTTTTGGTTGTTTTTTTCTTTTCCTAATATTTCTTTGCTCCTCCCACAGGTTGGCTTTGATGAACTCACAGCTGAATGAGCGTCGGGCTTCTCTGTTCAGGCCAAACTCTGGACAGCCTGCAGGTCCTCGTCAAGGTGAGTGAACCACACACTGCTCTGATTGTTCTGCAGCTTCAACTTTTTTCTGTTTTGTCAGTTTGGATTTTTTTTTTTTTAAACTTTTACCGAAACTTGACTTGAGGAGAGTCCAGGACGTCGACCTCTTCACCACAGTACTGATCTGTTCAAGGTTTCCTTCTTACTGTAGTAAAATGACGGTTTGATCACAACAGGTGATTCATACGCGCCCTCTCCTGTCAGCGGGGGGCAACCTTCCCCACCACCAATGATCGAGGGCCCCAGACGCCCTCCCTCCGCCCCTGTTGGGCGAAGAATTGACCCGTTTGGTGAGTTCACTTGGACGTAGTCGACCCCTCCTAATTTCAACTGCATCTGGACATCGTCCCTCCACGACCTCTTCTTTTTTCATCCTCCTTTTTCACTTTTCTTACTTTTTCTTTTCTTCCTCCCAGTTTACTGTCAACTGTCAACTCTTTGTTTCCAGATCTTTCTTCTCTTATAGTTGAACCACCTATAAGTTCTCTGTTGAATTGTTTTTGTGTGTTCACTTAAGAACCTGGAAACATTTCACATTAATTTTGCATCATCCATCAATTCATAGTTTTTTTTTTTTTTTTGTATTTCAAAATACATTTTTCCTTCTTCCTTTTCCTTCTTCACCCTCAGTGTCCTGTTTCCTTACAGATCACCAGGCTTCGCCCTCTTCATATTTCTTCTTCTGTGCAGCTTGTGAAGTCGTGTATTTCTGTCTTCACTAAATCGTCATTTTATCCCCCACCAGGCCCTCGACCACCATCGGACCCACACGGTCGCTTCGCTGACAACAAACACATTTCTGGGATTGGTACGTCTCCTGGTGTTTCTGCAGCTTTAGATTAATGTTTCTTAAATGTCGGGTCACAACCCAAAAACAGTCCTGTAGCCATGTAGAGTGTGTAAATTGTGTTGATATTACATGGAGATTTATGGACCACGTCTCTTTTTATTTTTTTTATTTTTTTTCCCCCAGACATGATGGGTCCACGCAGCTCATCACCTGCCAACATGGACGTTTCTGTGAGTCTTTTTCCAACCAGCTCATTCTTACGAAGCCTCTTAGGTTTGCACTCACAGACCCAGGGTCTGTACCTACAGTTTGTGTCCATTGTCATTGTCCTTGTTCTGTAACAGACACAGGAAGTAGATCCGCAGGTAAAGGCGGAGGCTCAGGCTGAGGTCTCCACTGAGAGTCCAGAGCCAGTGACTACAGAGGTTTGTTAGTCCAGCCGCTCACAGTGTGCAGTGTTGAAGGACGGAGGCTGCACTTTAAGGCTTTTCTACTTCACTGGGATTCACCTCTAACTGTTTGGGCTGAGTGTGTTTCATCTGAGGGTATTGTGCTAAAGCAGTGGTTCCCAACTATTGTGGAGGCCCCACCACTTTGCCCAGTGTATGAACAATGAAGAAAATGCTAAAACGTCTTTAATTTTCTGCACTAAAAACACTAACAAACATGACAAACACCCCCCACCCCACCAACATACAGTATCTGCTGTGGTCGTGACCTATGCTGCCGAGCTTGACAAATCAGCTTTAAGACATTTTCAGTGTCTACCTTTGTGTCCCCTATATGGAGCACGCCCCCCGCTTTGGGAACCACTGCACAATGGGAAATCGTGGTTCTGTTAATTCTGACTGTTGTGGATTTAAAGTTGTGCTGCAGACGGTTCATTATTTTCCTCGGAGTCATGGTGTGTGTGGTCACTGGACATGGGAATGAACCCAGGTTGAGCACATTGTTGGGACTGAAGTGTGTGTGTGTGTGTATGTATTGTGTACATGTTCCCTGCATGACTGAAATGCGCAGCATCTTGAAGTCCACCGTCTCTTTCCGACCGTCTAACTTGTCCTGGTTTCACCTGTACTCCATCAGGGACCAGGTTCATTTTTGGCGTCTCCAATCAGAGACTCACCTGGCCCCATGGTCAAGGGACCTCCACCTGGACCTGGACCCCACGATCCACCACTCCCTCCTGGACCACATGGCCGTCTACCGCCACCAAGACCTTATGGACCTCCGCGACCCGGCCCCTACCACCACCCACCTGGCCCTCTCCCACCGAACCTACCTCATCCTGTTCACGGAGCTCCACCGCCACCTGGTGGTCATCCAGGCCTGCCTCTACGTGGGCCAATGGGAGGCGAGTTTGGGCCTCGACCTATTAATGGACATGTGTACCCCCCCAGACCACCACTTATGCGTCCTCCTCTGCCACACCCCTACAGACCCATGTCTCCACCACAGAGTACGTTTGGTCGTTTTTTTTAATTCTTAATTTAGTTTTATTGTTTACAGCGGTCCCTCTCCTGTCGCGATAGTTGCGTTCAAAGACCCACCGCAAAATGGGGAAAAAACCACGAAGTACAGACGAGATTGTTGTTATATTATTTACGTATATATATTTACCGTTTATAAACTGCCCCCACACTGTTATCAATTTTTTTATTTTTATTTGTTAGACAAATATTACAACCAACGTCCTTTACATCCAGCGGAGAGTGTTGTGAGACTTTTCTTCTGTTCAGGTCACCGCGGGCCCATCGGACCACGACCTCCCATGCATCCTGACATGCGCTTCCCAGGATCACGTGACCACAGCAGACTCCCATTGGACCTCCCCCATCCTCACCATCCTGATGACATTTACAGACATGCCCTTCCACCCAGCATCCACCAGAACTCTGTGGCTCCTCACAGCCTCCCGGGTCAGGACCCAACTGTGCAGCAGGCGGCTCCTCAGGACTCAGCAGGACCAGCAGTGGTCAAGCCTTAAAAAGACAGCCAGCAGCCACAGCAGCCACAGCAGCCACAGGCAGATCGGGTCTTCCTGAAGGAAACCAGGTCCAGTCCAAACCAAGGTCATGATTATTTACTTATTTCATTTATGGAATAAAAAACACTCAAAAAAATAATGAAAAAAATTGTTTAGCAAAAACATGGTCCTGAAATAAGAACGTTATGAATGACATCATAAAAATGGACAATTACCACTTTTTTTATTGTGCAATAACAGTTTATCACATACCAGAACGTTTTCAATTGTTGATAATTTAAATAAATCTTCATATCAGTGTTTTTTTAATGCGGCAATTTAGTTTTTAGTGTCATTTCCTGTGGAAATCATTTTTTTGAATGAAAAAAAAAAGCAGATCCAGCTTCTACCATTTCAGGAATATCATATCATAATATCATGTTTTCTCCCAAATCTGATGCTTCAGAACAAACAAAAAAATCAAATAAAATGGCCAGATGTATAACTTATTTTACAATGTTGCTAGAACTTTTATTAATAAAGACAAAAAACATGTAGATCTGGTGTTTTGTCATCAGTCGGCTTGAAGGAGTTCAGTATTGTTTAACATTCTGATGAAAAAAAAAAAATAAGGAATACATCTGTGCTGGGTTTCATTCTCTCAGAAAATCTGCATTTATTTTGTTCCTAATTTCAGCTGTTTTATGTTCTGATGAAGTGAACACAAAACAATGTGACATTTTGTTCCGTCTCACACAGTCTGGAATGCATCTTTTTGTACAACAGAAACGAGAGGAAGCACATTAGGAGTTTCCTTTGAGCAAAATCTCTTGCTCTTGTTTTCTGACTTTTTTTGATTTTCAGAAGGTAGTATTTGTGTGCTTCAGTACTTTGAGTTTTTAAAGAAATACTTTGTTTTAATTTTTTTTTTTTTCAGTACTCAAGTTCAACTTAAACTGCTATTTTTGTTCCAACCCTAAATCCTTCAACAACCAGGCCACAGAGCGACATTAACTGTCCGTGATAACATTTACCAACATTTTCTTTTTAGACCGTGTACAATAACAGACTCAAAATGTTCAGATATGTGCAGTGCAACTGGATCAGGTTCTTAATGAAAACATCTCTGCGTGTGTTCAACTGTTACATCTTGAAAGAAGTCTTCAACTGGTCGATGAGGTAAGAAATTCACTTCTTTAAAGTCAGTTTTTAACCCATGTTCTCTCTTGTTATGTTTTATGTATCTATTTGGCCCTGTCTAAATTATCATTTACAGCTTCGTTAGCGCTGGTAACAGTTTCTGTGGAGCTTTTCTGTCAGTGGAACGATAACGTTTTAGCTAAACATTGTTTGGTTTTGTTTGGTTGGTTTTTTTAACACTGAATCCTAGATTTGTAGCTTGTTCTTGAGCTAAATTTCAGCTATTTTACTTTTTAAATATATATTTATATATTGAGATTTAAATATAGCTTTTGAGAGAGCAAAATTCCCAGGTGGACAGGTTTGAGTTCTGAGTGTCTGTCTCATGTCTCCAGAAACCACCGCGGACCTGAAGAATGCACTCGTGGTGGATTTAAAGCAAACAAAGTGATTATGTTAACAGGTTGTTTATTCAGAAACACAACTTCCAACATATTTTGGCAAAAAAATGATTTGAAAAAAAGAAAAAAAAATCAGTCCAAAGCTCCATGTCCAACAATTCTTGAAATGTCTGTCATTGAAATGAAGCACCAGCTCAGATTTGTGTCTTTTTCACCAAACTCTGAGCGTGAAGGAAGACTGGGGAGATTTCCTGCAGCAGATGTGATGTGCATTTATCAACCAAAAATCAAAAAGTATAAAAAAAAAAGTGGCAGTCTTGAGCTGATGTGACTGGTGTTTGGCTCAGTTCCCTTTCAGTTCTCCAGATCAAACAAACAGACGGACGCCCGGAGTCAGTATTGCTACATGTGATGAGGTGGAAAAAACATTTGTCTTTTTGGATGTGGATGTAGATTAAAAATGAATCGGAGGAGGAAGAGGAGGAGGAGGTGTTCTCAGACTTAACTATCCTTGTGTAACGTCTGATGAAGATGGAGATAAAGTGGTTTCTTTGTTAGTAGTTGAAGTTTCTTCCTCTTAAAGTCTGTGGGCTTTTTGTACCTGGGATTAAGGAAAAGCACAGTGAGCATCAAGAAGAAGATCTTTTTTTTTAACTAAATCCTGATTAATCTAAAAGTTTTAATCCTTTGAAATAACAAGTTGTTGTCATAATGAGGCAGCATCTGGGTGGGTTTTTTCCCCCCTGTTACTAGAAGCTGATTGGATAAACGTGGGCTTCACTGGACTGTGGACAGGGGGCAGACTTGAGTGCTGGGCTTCTACATAATAACTGGACAGAACTTGAAATTAAATAACTGTTTCGTAACGGGTCGTAGTTTTAATTGAACTCACAGTTCGATGACGATGGGTCCAGGTTTGATTTCGTCCATTTCCATGAAGCCAAAACACTTTGTGCTGGTAAATCTCTTCTTGGGTTTGTAGTGCTTGAATTCAAAGAAGATAGCAGCTCCTGGGAACAGGAACATTTGTGGAGAACGTTCATTAACATTCTCCAGGAAGTTCTGAAGTTTACTCTAACCTCTTGGGGTTTTTTTTTCTCTCTCACCTTTTGGCAGCTTCTCCACGTGTCTCTGGATCTCCACCTCCACACTGAAGTGGATGTAGGTGTCCTCCTTCCTGGTGGCCACGGGCGTGTCCTGCACCGGGTTCACATCCACACCATTTAGATCTGCAGGCAGAGAAGACCAGGTAACTGTGCAGACGCTCCATGGTGTCTGACTGATCTGTGGAGCAGCTCCGTCATTACACCACCTGTTCACCGACGTCCACTTCTCTTACCTTTAACACTGATGGTCATGTAGGGATCGATGCACTGCCCCGCGTCCTTCAGCCCGATTTTCTCAATCTTTATCGTCAGCAGCGACATTCCTGGCTCTGAGGGTAACCGTGGCAACAGTGTACCTGTAACAGGACCAGCGTGTACAGGTTACCATGGCAACAGATGTGCCTGTCTTTTTTTTTTTAATGCAGCCTTTGTGATTGAAGTGCTGTTGATTTACAGAAAGCTGAGTTCTACAGGAACACTGTTGGCAGAACGTCCACTAACGTACAGTTCTCACTAACATTAACATATCATGCTGGGACAAAATGTTCCGTTCTATGAGAAAGTCTTTTTTTTTGCTGTAACTTTTAATGTACATTGAGCTTCGTTTGAATTCCTAGGTCTTTGGATATTGACCGAAACCTTTGGTTGTCTCTGTCTTCGTCATCTCTTTCATAATGGTAGCAAATATTTGGGCTCTTTTTTAGATAGCATTTCAATTATATTTTGTCTCCACTCACGGACTGCAACAAAAGGAAAAGCATGTTTTTCATGCAGCAGGAGAGAAAAAAAAAGTAAAGTCTTTAATGAAGTCGTACCTTGCGAAGCTGCGAATGAAGCAGTGAAGCCATGCACAGCCAATGACAGAGAGAACAAGAAAGACACACAGTCAAAGCCCTTGGTTTAAAAACACACACAAATAACACAGACAGGCAGAGATTCCAAACAGCATTTGGGTTTGGTTCATTTTCCAACAGTACCAGGAGCTCGAGGAGGGAACGCCTCCGTGGATCCTGCTCCTCCTGCTGCTGCGTCCTCCTCCCCCTCCAGCTCCAGGTTCTCCTCCTCACCTGGAGCCAGGATTTTCCTGACGAGGACAAGGTTTAAGGATTTAGAGCCGGACACGAAAGAAATGACACACAGTAGCAACAGTGATGCTTGAAAGTCATTACATCAGTATTTATTTATTTATACATTCAAACACACCTGTTACTGGAACTTATATTAGGACTTAAGTGTGAAATATTGTCAGTAAAAAAATGTAAATATGACTTATTTTGGATGAAACAAACTATTTTTAAGTGAAGTTCTGTTTTTGCGTGTAAGTAAAATGATGAATATTTACCGTAAGGGAACCGGCTGGACATCGAAAGGAAACTCTTTGTTATAGGTCTGAATGTTTTTGATGACTGTTGACACAGTTACAAAGAACAGTAGTGATTATCATTAAAGAACACATGTATTTTACACAGAGATATTTTTAATGTGTTTCTATGTTCTCACTGTTTTCCAGTTTCTTCAGGTCTTCTAACTTGAAGTCCTCCTTGGTCTGTGTGCACTGCAAAAAGAAAAAGATGAAAGCGTCGATCCTAATGACCACAGACTCACTGGAAATGACACAAAAGACACTTCACACAGCTGAGCTGCAGTTTTGTTTTGTTTTTTTGTCTGTGCGTTTGGTCAAACATTTTTTAGTCTGACTTGGAGTTTGAACTCTGGACCTTGGCGTTTCTAAAAGTGTGGCCGTGGCACTGATCTGTGTACAAACCTGCAGACTTGCACTTCTCATTTCCAAACATGTTGCAATCTTTCCTAAAGTTTTCTGAGGAGAAAAGAGCATAAAGCAAATAAAGAAAGTGAGCAGTGAGATAGAAGATTTATGGGGGGAAAGAAATCAAAAGATTCAAAGAGCTCCAATTCAATGATTACCTTCTGCTCCTCCGTGAAATCGGGTGAATTTGTTGACTGCACCTGTTTTTGCAACTGTCTGGCCAAACTGGGATTAACCAAAAAAGATGTGTAAAAAAGATATTTATAGAAATGTTAGAGCTGTAGTAGCGTAATGTTAGCCAAGTAATGCAACGAAACTAGTTTGACAGACAACCCAAAAGTAGCTGAAAGTTACTCAAAAAGTTAGCAAAAATAGCAAAAAAGAGAAAATACAAACACTGGAGATAAACAGCGTAATACACACGGGAAAAAATTGTGTTTGTAGGATTTTATACTTTGTTTTAAAGTCAATTTACGTGTACGCTGCATTTTAATTAACTATATTATGAGAGGGTATTTCTGCGCCCTCTTGTGGTTTCGCAGGGAAGGTGTCGAGAAGGTTAATAACGTGTAGATTTTTTTAATTGTATAGAATGTATTGAAACTACATTTATTTTGTCAAGAATAGCATTGGTTTTGTGTGAGTTATTCAGGAAATATTACTGAGTAGGAGCAGATGGATCTCTCACACACGTGTGCGCGCGCACAGTCAGAGGGTGTGGCTGTGTTTCTCAACCCTCTCTCTCAGGGACACTGGCCCGTTTTTTGTGCACCGCTGCGTGACACATCATGAAAAATCCACAGCTCCCAGATCAGATCAGGGTGTGTTTTTTTCTCTCTGACGGGAGGCTAAACTCTGCTGATGGAATCTGCAGTCCTGCACTGATCCGCAAAACCAAGGCGCTGCCCGGTCACGTCATGGATGAACGGGGTTTGTTTACGGCAGAATAACGGAGTGACACCTCCGTGATAAGGCTCTAACTTCAGAGTGTAACAGAAGCACCGTGCACGCACTGTCCTCCCTATAGACGTCCATGCAAACGGGTGGATAAATGGAACATTCCCTCTGTGCTGTGCATAAAGCCGCTGTATGGACACCCACATACACACACATGTTGAATGCTACTTACATATGATACTCATCTATGGCCTCCACTAACTGACCCCAGGAGTCAAAGTCTGTGGCTTTTCTAAAACTGGCGTGCCACTTCTGGACAATCTTGGTCACATCGGACATGGTGGCGGGGCGGATACAGGCGGCGCTCTCAGAGCAACATATCCGATGAGGACGCTCATCCACGGGGATCCAGCTCTGGCTCCAGCGGCAACAGCGGCGCAGTCGTCAGCCGAGCTCTCCGCCGTCCAGAGGCGCACACAGACCGGTGACAGCCCGACCAAGCCCTTTCTGACCGTTCATCCCACTGTCGCATCCGCAGCACAGAGGAAGTCCCGCCTGGCGCCTGCAGGAGCTCCACAGGGGCGCGCGGTGTGGGACGCGGGGTCTCCCGATCGGGCGGCAGCGGGAAGAGTAATGGGAGCAAATTCAGAGGCGTTTCAGGGGAATTTAAGGCCACAAGACAAGGAAGGAAGGGATGGCTGGGAGGGAGCTGTATTGAACTAGACCAAACCTCCAAAGAAATACCAAAACTGAAAGCTCTGAACTTACACTTGATGACTTTTATAAGCAAAACAGCTGTGCTACTCAATAAAAAAGGCTCCACCTACGACCATGTAAATGATTCAAGTGAAGCACACAATAACACAGGGCAGAACTGTCTAAATGCAATTTATTGTTTTCTCTTACATGTTCTCCCCATCAAAAACGGAGGTATGCTTCGTTTCTTGGTGAGTGTACCTCCGAAAAACGGCGGTACACTCAAAAATCATTTAAAGGCAATTCCAGAGCATGTAGTCCCTATAATCGCCCCTAGAGAGGGTGCCAGAATAAATACCTGAATTGGCTAATAATAAACCGTTTGTACACCAATGCACTACCATTTTTGTCCAACCACAACAGTGAAGTGTAAGTTTCATTGGGGCAGCAATAATTTTAAATCGTGGGCTAATAGAAGAAATATATGGCCACCCAAAATGGCGGACTCTGTAGAGAAGACCCCCTCGTGTATTTAATGTATAAGGACTTATTGTAATGAATTGAAACAAAGCCGTATTCTACTGTAAATTGACTGTTAATTAATTTACGTAAATGTTTAACAGTTCCATCTGTGACGTTTATTTTTGAAAGGACGGTATGTGGCTTCCTGTTGTCTGTTACGTCACTACCTCTCTTCGCTGCTACGTTAGCAATGGCTAAAACAGCAGAGCGGGAATGTGCTTTAATAATTATTAACGGCTGTTAGAATGAGATAAAAAAAATGGAAGGTGCAGAAGTGGAGTCTTGTGTGACAGAGGAGGACGACTGTCCAAACCGAACAGAGGTTTCATGTTTAATGAGAGTCGGAAGAAATTCCGACTGGCTTCATCTCTTCAGAAACACTGAGGTGCCGCCAGTGCTAACTAGTGTCTGTCTTTGTAATAAGTAATTGAAAAAAAAGTTCGCGCAACGTTTTTATATTCACCTTAAGTAACATATATGAGGTCTGCTTTTTGTACTGGAGCTTGAGCTTTTTTTATGTAACCAAAGCTCGCATGCTATCAACCAACCTGACAGCCGTGTTTGTTATGGATTGTTCCAGATCACAATAGGACGTGGTTTAGACGTCACCTACCAGCTACTGTCCCCCACGTGTCCTCTTATGATCTCCAGACTGCACTGTACTTTCAAGCTGAGTGACGACGGACACTGGACAGTCACAGACAAGAGGGTCAGTAGCTTGTGTTGTAATCTTAAAGGGTTCAGCCTCAGTCATGAATTATCAACTCATGTTTTTATACTTTCAAGACTTATACATGGTATAATTTTTTTTTAATCCTAACTAGCACATAAACCCACTGTTGTTTACCTTTCAGAGTCTGAATGGCGTGTGGGTGAATGGGCATCGCCTACCTGCTGGGGAAACACACCAGTTGAAGTTTGGAGACTCCATCCAACTTGGAGTTCCTCTAAATGGAAGCAAAGTAGAGTTTGACTACACCCTCATCCAAAGGCCCCTCAACGACATTCAACCTTTCCTGGCTATGGTGAACAGAGATGCTGCAAATTCAGCTGCAGTTTCAAAAAAATCCAAGAGAAGGTTGTCCACAGAGGAGGTCGAGCCGTCTACATCCAAACCCAAGCTTTATCGTCACACCTCGGCCGACAAGTCTTGCGCAAAGCCCTGTCCTCTGCCACAGAGGAGGTGCCAGCAGAGGCCCAGTCACACAGAAGCAGAGAAACCTGGAGCTGAAACTGAGCAAGTGACAGAAGCAGAGCAAACCTACAGTGTCCACATTGACCCCTGTGACCTGGACAATTTACAGATGTAAGACTCAGTGATAGATTCTGCATTTGAATCACAGATATTTGTCTATTGTTGTGTAAAATAAGTCGATTGCATACTTTGTATGTATGTTTACAATATTGTTTTGTGATGTCAACTACACCATGTAGTTCCAGAGACTCCCCTGCAGAGGGTGCTCTATTATATACTGTATATTCTTATATGTCCAACACTATGCAGTAGTTGGTTTTTATAGTGTAAAAAAATACTGAATAGACTTTAATGTATCCTATATACAATGGATCTGCCTTAAAACATTTAACTACTCTTTAAAAATACATGTAAACATTTATATATGGTCATACTTTTATACACTCTTAGTCATTTGTTACACACCTTTAATTTATCCATGTCTTCAGGTACAGCCAGAACATTATGTTGCTCAGGGAGCAGGTGATGACCACCCAGAGGCAGGTCGCCTCCCTGGAGGAGCAGTCCCCGTATGCTGACCCTCACAGGGATGAGCAGGTGAAGGAGCTGCATGGTCAGCTGGAGACGCTCCAAGCCAAAATGCAGCGGATGGAGAGGCTGGAGAAATCCTTCAGTGCGACTAAGAGAAAACTGGAGGTAAAAGGCACTTCATTTGACATTCGAAATACACATTACATATATTTGTTCTGTTATTGAACACATTTTCTGCGTGGGTAGACTTTCTTGTTTTGTTTTGTTTTATTAATACTGAATTGAATCATCTTGGGAAATAACCGGGAAATTATGTTGTAACTGAATGTGATGATGAAACGTTGAACTCTACAGACACAGTTGTGCAACTGTTATAGAGAATTGAAGACTGTTTTTGTGTTCATGAATTAAAAAAATTGAAAGGGACTTGAAATGATCTCTATCCTGTATTTAGGCTGAGAAAACGCAGCAACAAGAGGAGCTTTTGAAGAGACAGCTGGAGGAGGCCCTGCAGGAGGTGTGTTACATCCAAGATTAAAGATTCTTGGTTGTCAAAGTCGTCACCTGATCAACAAACTTTAAAAACAACATGATGCACATTCTGATGTAGATTTGAAAAATATTGCACATTATGAGAATATTGCACACCAATATTGATTTGTAAATTATGTAACTAATAGTTTTGAAAGCAGTATTGTATATATATGAAACTAAATAAAACAAATATTTAAAGAAAATCTATAATAGTTGCAGGTTTAAAAAGTAACATTTGAGTTCTTACAGCTATTGTAGTAGCTATACAAAAAATATGCTATTTTTACCATCTTTGGTTTCTGTTTTTACCTCTTTTATCCTCAGCAAAAGAAAGTGATTGTTGAGCTGGCACTTTCTCGTCAAGGCTTTGAAGAGATGCTCTTAGCCAAAAACAAAGAACTCGAAGTGACGAAGGTAGGAATGTTTTTCACATTGTTAATTATCGGCACCCACACCATTTGTTAAATTCACTGGTGTGAATCTGCTGCAGGAGGAGAAAGAAAAAGCCAAGGCTCAAAAAGAGGAAGTCGTGACACAAGTGACTGAGGTTCTGGAGAACGAGCTTCAGTGCATCATCTGCTCCGAGCTGTTCATTGAGGTAAATAGTTGAGCTGTCGTCGTTGTCATCGCCACTAGGTTCTCTATACCTGAAGTTTTATCCCTCTCATCGACTTTCTTTATATATATAAATATATATACCTGTATAATAAATGTGTTTATGTTTATATATATGTATGTGTATATATATGTGTACATGTTTATATATGTTTATATGTGTGTATGTGTGAGTGGGTATGTCTTTGTAGTATATATAGTTTGAAGTTAAAAATCTATTAAGTAAAAATTTAACTAAGGCTAAGTTACAATTTAGTGAAAAAAGTACTAAATCAGAACTTCAGAAATGAATCACTACAATCTTTACAAAGTCTGCGCTATCGTCCCCTGCAGGCTGTGATTTTGAACTGCGCTCACAGCTTCTGCTCCTACTGCATCAATCAGTGGCGCAAAAAGAAGAACGAGTGTCCCATCTGTCGCCAGGCCATCCAGTCTCAGACCCGTTGTCTGGCTCTGGACAACTGCATCGACAGCATGGTGGAAAACCTGAGTCTGGACATGAAGGCCCGGCGTAAGACTCTGATAACGCAGAGGAAAGGTGAGAGGTGCGTTTCATCCAAAGTCACTTTCCAGTCCATGGTTGATTTGGTTTCTTTTTGTCTGACAGGAGCACACACAGCTTTGCCTGAATCACTCCTCTAATTTCCCTCTTTTTTTCAGAAAATAAGGTTTTAGTTTCAGAATGGGACGAGGCGCATTTAAACCGTGATGTCACAGGCCGTGTACGGTGGCACAGACAGACAGGAGTCGATATGAGAGTCTGTTCCACAGGAGTCGGTTTCACATCTAGGATGACACAAAATTAAAAAAAAAAAAAAAACTGGGATTTTTCTTTTCTTCAGATAACATTTTATAGACTTTTTGATAAATGTAAGAGGTCTAAGATGTTTTTTGATATTTTAGTAAATATGAATGTGATGGACCTGTTATGAGTCTAAAGCCTAATGCTACATGCTCAGTACGCAAATGTGCAAGCGAGCTTATGCACAAAAGAAATATAACCTGTCTTTCAAACACACACTACTAAAAACTTTAAACACAAGATGGCTGATTGCTTTTCTACCACAATGAACTACAAATTCGTACACAAGAGGCCCTGGAGTTTCTGACCAAAGTTCCAACCTGATACTGCTCCACATCATTTGTTTCTGTGCCTCCTTCAAGACCTTACAGTTCCTGTTCAGTGTGAGGGTATTTGTCCTGTAAAAAAGACCCCAAGACTTCCCGCTAGTTTCTATTCCTTGTGACAGGAATGCACCTATATTCTAGTCTTGTACCTGGTTCTTGTTACTAGTTCCTGCAGTGGAAACAGCCTCCACAGTGCCGTATGTAATAACTGGGATGTTGAGTCGACCGTTTTTATATGTACTCAAAGAGTCACGAAGTAGGTTCTCAACCCTCGGCTCGTGTGGTTGAGCTGCTATCACATAATTGGGTTTTTTTCAAGGCATTAAGAGGGCGGTGACACTGATGTCAGCCTGTCTCAGTGAGGGCGGGTAGAGTGGGAGTGGGTGTGAGTGAGTCACACCACTAGGTGGCAGCAAAGTCAGGCTGATGTAGGGCCTGTCATTTCCCATAATTCATATATATGTATGTATATATATGTATGTTTGTGTGTGTATATATATATATATATATATATACATATATGTATGTATATGTGTATATATATATATAAAATATATATATTTAAATATACATATATATACACACAATATTGCATTTCCTCAAAGTTAAAAAAAGAAAAAGAAAAAAAACAATTTATCTACTTTTACTTTTCAGCACTTGACTCTTCTCCAGTGATGGTGGTCATGGATGATGAAGAGGACGAGGACGAGGAGGGGGATAATGAAGACAACAGCAGCATTTGGAGCAGTGAGAACAGCAGCCACGGTAGCTTTGTCTCCATAGGAAGCAGCCTGAGCTCCGTGGTCTCCGTGGAGACTGGCAGCAGCACCCACTTGGACTCCAGCCCCGCTTGCAGCGCTGGTACCGACCAGAGTTCGGACGAGTCTGAGGACTGACCCGGTTCTTCTGTGAGCTACAGTGTGAAGTGGACATCTGCGTTAGCAATTTCTTCAAACTTTTCTGCAACGCTAATGAATCTTGGTCTCATCATGAGCCCCGTTAGCACGTTCAGCTAAAGTAGTACTTTTTTTTTTTTAATCCTGCAAGTGGATTGGTTTCTTTATTTTCAAGTTTAAGAATAAATTTTGTGCCAATGTTTGTCATAGTTATGATGTACGTGTTATGTATGTGTTTTGACAGTTGTTAGAGGAAGGTTTAACGGAAGTTACTTTGTAAACTACAACGGTGTATTAAGGCCACATTGAGGACAAAAATATATCTAAAATTACAAGAATAAATAAGTTTTAAGTTTTGCACAAAGCATTGGACCATAGGCCAGTCAGAATAAGAAGCGGGGGCCATCTCACTTGTGACTTCTTTTCTTTTAAATTGTGAAAAAAAATGTACTTTTTTTTTTTCTCCCAACCTCACGTCTTTTATCTCATAAATTTACAAGTTCTTTTTTTCTCGTAAAGTTGCATCCTTTGCCTCATAAATTTACTACTTTAAACTTGAATTTTTATTTATCATTCCCAATGTGGCCCTAATACTCTGTGGTAGTAAACTTTAATGACTAAAAACATTTTGTAGACTGTATTATTATTATTTGACTACTTTATTCTAAGACTAGTCTGATCTTTTGTCAGACATGTTTTCTCGGAATCTTGATGTTAGTGTTTACCTTTTTTGTCAGGACCATTTTGACCACTATGATTCTGACAGTGGTCTGGGAGTTTTTTTCTTCGGGGAAATCGTTTATTCTCAAGCTGTTTGCCTGAGTTGCTGCAAGTTTTAAATATATTCATACAATTCTACCCATCTGACTTGTCTTCTCAAAGTGCTGACATGAGTCACACCTGGCCCCCAGGAGTGTTTTTCAGAATTCAAATCAGAACTTTCTCATTTGGAGTGTTCCGAGAGAATCTCACTATTCGTTCATACTTCTGAAAGATGGTCTGACTTTTTCCCGCTGAGTCATAATTCGTCTTGTCTTACTATACACTAGTTAGAGTGAAATAATGTGTTTTATTTCATGTAAGGAACATTGGAACAATATACTAAGACGAGAAGAATTTTAACTTAAGTTTTGTTAAATGTTGAGGGAAAAAGTCAGACTTCACTCCAACACTGCAGTTAGAATTGACCTGATGCTGTTTTACAGTGTGTGCTGTCTTAACCTACTCTTTGTTCACCTGCAAGGTCACCTGGGAGTTTCCTGGCAGGAAGGCTCCAGGGCTACAGAAGAGGAAGCAGCGTAACTCACTCCCGTTGGCGTCAAGGCCAGTGATGAATCAGCTCCCACTGCACCTGACGTACATGGAAAATCAAAACGTCTTCAACTGCAGATCAGTAAAAAACTAAAAAAAAAAAGTATTTATCATTGTTTTATGGTTTTATTATGAAGTCTAGAACATTTAATTCATACATCAATATAAAATGTTCGATTTGGATATTCGGAATTAATCAACTTTGTCCTGGACTGTAACCACTCTAAACAATGGTTTACATTAACTCTGTCACCTCTGTCTGATCTCTGAACCACAACAGTCGACATTCTACACCTGCAGTGTCATTTTGGTTTGTAGTGAATTCATGTGTAATTTATTGCTGCATTTTCTTTAGTCTTGTGTGGCAGGAGGAGGCTGCGGCCCTGCTGTGAGGACCATTTGGACCCTACAAACAGCAGATGGTCCTCGGACACCAGCCGTGAGTCTGTTTGATCACAGAGCTGGAGGAACTGCGTCCAAACAACACAACAAAACAGGTGCGAAGCAGCAGAGTGGGAGGCGAGAGATGACACGTTTAAAGTGGTGCGTGATATACTGTGCACGTGTTGTTGTGTTTTAATGACACACATTAGCCATAGATTTACTGGAGGGGGGAGTCATTTTAAAAAAATCCTCTATTCACGTGGACTTTAGTATCGAGTCTGAGATGCGTTTAAGGATAATTCGAAATCCCGCCATCTGACCACATGAATCATATTTGCTCATAGTTATGAAAATAAAAATGATCATTTTTAGTGTTGTTTTTTATGAGCACATTTGAAACAAAAAAAACCCCATTAAATTCTAATTACTTTGTGTTTTCTTCCCTGTAGCATTTAGATTGACGCAGAGTCCCTTAAACAACGTGAAACCTACATATGTTGTGTTCTGTCACCATGACAACAGATGACATGCAGCGCAGTTCGCCACAGGAAGCTCACTTTTTTATGAAGGACAAGTAATTTATTTCAGTTCAGCTAAACGTAAGTAAAAATAAGAACAAAAAGCACAAAAACATTTTTGAAGCTACTGAACAGTTTGTTTTGTTACAGGTTTTAAATTTGCATGCGAGCTTCAGATTGGCTAACAAGAACTAGCAGGTCCTGCTTAGCAATACCTACAACTATAGGTAAGTTGTATAGTTTTATGTATTGTAGTTGTATTTTCAGGTGGGAAAAAATATTTGTCCTCAAAAAATATATTATTTAGTAACATGATATTAAGATAGTGTTTTCTTTTTCTAACTAGGGAAAGTGCAGAAGTATTCAGTTCAACTTGTGCAAACATGCCACAGTCCACTTTGCCTTCAGCTTCTGACTCAAAGGTTCCTGAAGGCAGCAAAAAGACCAGAACGATCATCTCTGAGGATCCATGCTGGACCCTGTCTCTGCTGCCTCGTCTCTCAGACCTCTGCCTGCAAAGTATCGCAAACAACTTTGAAGGTCTGCCTTTTCCTTCCCTTGATTAACTATGGTCAAGTAGTTCATGTTTTTGTTTTTTACTTCTGTGAATTATTCCTTGTACAGAACACCCTCTCTTTGAACAACTTTCATCCAGCCAAAGAGACTTCCTCCAGCAGAGGCTCTCACCTTCTCTGCCCCTGCACGTGACAGCAAACCTGATCGGCGACGGCGTCTACTGGAAGCGCCGCTGCCAGCAGCTGTGGGGTCTCTGTGACGTGTCACATTACGGACACAGCTGGAAACGGATGTTCTTTGAGCGGAGTTTGGAGAACATGATCGAACTTTTCATTCCTGATGTATCGGACCCAGGGAACCTTCTAGACATGGTCCATCACTGTAGGGACTTTGTCAAGAGGCTGCGGGTTTCCCAGCTGTTGACGCCCGTCATGGATCCACAGAGGGTGGAGGAGGAGGAGGTAGCGAGTGACAATGAGTATGAGGGACCCTCCATGGACCACTTTGACTTCAGCATTCTGCTGCAGAAGCTGAGCCGCCTGGAGGAGCTGCACGTGGTCTACAGAGTCAAGGAGTGTGGGATGAACTTTGAGTGGAAGATGTTTGAGATGACGGATCGAGACTGTGAATCACTGGCCACGGCCCTCGAGTCCTGTAAAACCTTGAAGGTATTGATTTGTCCTCACTGTGGCCTTATCACTCTAAATCTTCACCAGCACTGGAGTCTGGACCTTGGATTTTTGTCGTAATTCAAATAACTACAAAACATTTTTTTTCAAAGATGTTTCTGGTGTCGTGAAACCGCAGGTTTCTTCTGATTAAAAACAGCACAGACTAAAAAAGTATAACATATTTATTTAAAGTATATTTTGAGAAAAAAAAACCCAAAACAATTTAACATTTAAGACTAGTGACTTCCTTCTGGATTAAATTTAAACCATCCAAATACAGACACAGTTTCTGATTGGGACCTAAAAGTCTTTGGGCTCCGTGAGAACATTATAAATCAAAATTTAAAACATTTTTTCATCCCTGTTGTCTTCTGCAGGTTCTCAGACTCCATCAGAGCCACGTTGATGATAAAAAGTGTCGACTGCTGGTGAAGCATCTCCTGGACCACCCGTCACTGAGGCAGCTGGACTTTTCTCACAACCTCATCAGTGACAAAGGAGCCAGAGCTGTCGCCAAACTGCTCAGCAGGAGCAGCCTGCAGGAGCTGGACATGTGCGACAACCACATCAGAGACCACGGGGCCAAAGCCATCGCTCACGCCTTGTCCAACAACTCCACTCTCTTGTCTCTGAATCTGCGTCTCAACCGTGTCAGAGACGAGGGAGGCCAGGCGTTGGGTGAGGCCCTGCTGAGAAACTGCACCCTTCGTCACCTCCACCTCGGAGGGAACGAGGTGGGCAGACGCACCGCTGCTGCTCTGTCAGAGGCGCTGAGGCAAAATAACGTTCTGAGGAGCATCAACCTCTCCTGCAACAGCCTGGGTGAGGTGAGTGAAGCAGAGCCGGAATACATTTGTTTCAACATTAGTCAGCAAACAAGGTGCAGAAGTGATTCTTTTTTTTTTCACATGAATTTCCTTTTTTAGGAATCTCTGTCATACTCAACGCATTATTTGAACTTGAAGCAAGTTGAGTCAAAACAAGACAAGGCAAGCGAAAAAAAGATTAGGCCGAACAAATGAGATGAAACAATGTTAGTCAAGACATGACAGGGTTAGATAAAACAAGATTAGCCAAGACAGGACGAGTTAAGATAAGATTAGTCAAGATGAGATAAGGTAGAATTTCATTAATCCCACACAGGAAATGGAAACGGAGACAACAGCTAAATGGCAGGCCATAAAAGACAAACAAAAAACAGGGAGAGAAAAGAGAGAATCACACAAAAAGATGAATATTCAGAGTAGAATATATTAACATAATAACATTGAGAAGGGAGTGAAAGAAAATAAAAAGATGGAATAACCACAATAAATATAGAAATGGAAATCTTAATGTGGTGCCATGTGGTGCACGGCCGTAATAAAACCACTCTGACAGTGACAGAAACCACAATAAATATAGAAATGGAAATGGTCGTAATAAAACCACTCTGACAGTGACAGAGCAGCAGAGCCGGGTCTCAGGTAATAACGTGATTGACAGCCTATGATTCATAGGTCGCCACATTAAAATCCATGCCTTGGCCAAGTTTATTGGATTTCTCCGGTCTTATTGGTGTGATTTGTTGTAGCTGGGAACTCGGCGCGGCTGTGCTCTGAACATCAGCAACAGAAAAATAAAACCCCTTCATTCTGTTTTCTTTGTGACTGGAATCCATTCCCTCACTCACACAAGTTTAATTTGAAATACACTACAGGTCAATACAGGTCAACTGACTGCAGCACGGTAAACAGAATGAACCATTTAAAAGTATTATTAATTATTCATGGCTGGAAGCTGAGTATGTCTTTATTTCGCTCATGAATTTTCCTCATCTTACGCTCTCTCTCTCTCTTTCTCTTCTTCTGAGATCATCCAGTGTATACTGTGTCTTTGTGGATTAAACTCAGCATCAGATCAAAAATCCCCCGTACAGCAGAAATGCAGTGATATGTTTGACCCTGGTCACACATGTACAGCAGAAATGCAGTGACCTGGACCAGTGATATGTTTGACCCTGGTCACACAACTTGGTAGAAGACAAAGACAAAAACTCTACCTCTTGATGTTTGTTCTCTGACGTCACTCCGTCTATTCTCCTCTGCAGGATGGAGGCAGAGCTCTGCAGGAGGCCATGTGTCACAACACCAGCCTGACTGAGTGTGATCTTCGTCTGACGCAGGTGGACGAGGACATCGTTTCCTCCATCACTCAGTTGGTTTGGGCCAATCAGAGTTCGGAACCGAGGCAGGATCAGGAAAAGTCAGGAGCGCGACGGGAAGTAGACGAGATGAGAGACGAGGCTCAGGAGTTCACAGGTAGGACACTGGACTGTCTTGAAGGTGTCAGAATATTTCTTTGTCAATATGCAGTGAACAAAAGACTTATCTATGACACACGGTGGTGAGCATTTCAGTTTAATGAGGAGCTGCATTCCATTGACACAGATTTGGTTTTCAGCCCGTGTGTAACAACAAGGCATTGTTGTGGTGTTGGAACACAGACAGACCTGCGTGGTTTAATGTCACCTACAAATCCCATGACACTCAGTTGCCTTTCTAACCTCTCATTTATTTATAATACAATGCCTTTATTTCAACAGTCAAAATAAGCAACCAAAAAAAGGCATAAATATCAAAAAGCCCTCGGGAATGATCTTTTATGACGTAATGAAAACAGAGATAAAATCTTTCCCTGTTGCCATGGAGGGAAAGAAAATTCAAATTATTAAGGATTCAGTCAGTCATTTATTTTGCTAAGATTGTTACGTAAACATTGAACTAGTAAACATGGTATTTTTTTACTAAGATTGTTACGTCAACATTGAACTAGTAAACATGGTATTTTTGTCCTTTCTGCATTAACCTCGTAGTAAAGCGCGTCTTTTATTCCACCGTAAATTTCTGTGGTCAATTTCTGGTCCTTTGGTTTGAAATAACGCCGCGCCGCAGGACATCTTTATAAAATGTTTATATTTGATCCACGAGCTGAGCATTAATTTGATGCTACAGTTAGCAGCTACTTAGCTTATCCTAGCATAGGACTGAAAAAAAAGAGGGAAAATGCTTCAGGAATATAAAGAAATAGGAATATAATGTGTAAGAATACATTATTATGTATTGTATGTATTTATTGAATTATTACTGTAACACATTACTAGTAAGTTCTGGTACTTTTATAGTATAATAGTTTTAGAGCTTTGTTATACTCTTAATGCTTAGCTAAGCTAAATGGGTCATTTAAAAAAAAATGTTTATATCACTTTAGACACAAACAAAAAAACACAGGCTTCCGTCCCAACGTTGTGCAATCTATGTAGAGTTTCAACAGAAATTTGAATATGAACGGTAGCTGTTGCACAACAACCGAAACAGGACGTAGCTCCTGCTTCGGGTTACATACTTGGCTACACTTTTTATACATTCATTTAAAGTGTAAAATAAAAAAAGAAACCATTTTAAATTATTTTTTTAATTCATAGTTTTGATACCAACCACCTGCCTTAGCTTCCACTGCTATCAAAGTGAAGGAGCTGCTTTAAATGATCCATCTTATCAATGGATTGGATTTGAATGATATAATAATTGGTTTCTATGTACAAAATAATTGGATTTAACGATATAATAATTGGTTTCTATGTACAAACATCTAATCTATTAAGATATATAAGAAGTACTAATGTGTTAAAGGTAATGCACAAATTATATTATTCTATTCTATTCTTTTTTTCTACATCATTGACTCTACAATGATTTGACAGTATAAAAAATTCAGTTCACTTTTAACAAAAAATGTGCTGAATACAAAAAGTTTGTACATTATTTTACACACAATGTTACTGTAGGGACTTCATGTTGGACATTTTTATCAAACTCATTTTCCACATTGGTAATTTCTACCAGCAACTGAGGTTTCAAACTGGATATATTATTTTTTTAACAGTCAGACCTGCATGTGGCTAAAATCCAAAATCACTCAGGTGATTAAAAATATGATGAAAGCTCAGAATCCTGTGTGTGCAACTCCCCGCCCCCCCTTCGTGCAGTTATTGTGATCTTTGTTAAAAGCTTTAAGATGAAGTGTGTCGCTAACTAAGAAATTTAAGAGTCGAGAGTCAAAGAAAGACCTGGGTCTGACGTGATCCTGAGTTTGAGGGGTTTCCATGGATGAAAACGTCTTCAAAGACTGTTTTCAGTCCAAAATGTTTTTGTTACATAAAAAAAAAGAATCTGTGTTTTCTCCACCAACAGTTACAAGCCAGACTTGGGTCACAGTTAATTGCTGTCGACTATTTTCAGTGCATTCTCTTTAGTATTGCTACAAAGACGGTCCCTCTGTTCAACACGTAGAATGTAATGAATATGGTTAATCTTTCACAATTCCAGGTACAGTATTGACATTTTGCAACAGGAAGTTGCACAAAATCAGAAACCACATTCAAGATCTTGGCTGTGCAGAAACTCTAATGGGTGGAAAATGATCTGCCATTGATTAAATACCACACGATGGGGGTTTTGGATTTTTTCTTTCTTTCTATAATTAGCTTGCATTTCTTCTTTGTAGCAAATAATGGGTTTCAAAATGAAAGAAATAATTTAATCTCCCAGCCAGTGTGTCTATGAATTTAGGGTATTGAACATTAAAAACGTGCATTTATTATTATTATCATTATTCTTATTATTGGTATTTTTTGTGTGTGTTTTCTATTTCATTTCTTGACTAAGAACTAGATGTTCTCAGTTGAGATCCAGTGTTTTTTTTTGTTTTGTTCTTTTATCTTATTAAAGTAATTCTGTCATATTATTAAATCTGACAGTATCAGTCGTAAATCCAGGCTCTGGACTATTTCTAGCATCTTCCATGGCCCGCCCTCTATCTGATATGCATCGGCAGCAGTAGCTGTAACACAGAGTCTTACAGTACTGGTTTATTTGTCTGCAGAACATTTAAGTTCTGACCATTTAAAAAAAAAAAAAATCTTATCCAGTGGAGCTCGATTGCATTCAAATTATCCAATTTATTCGTTCCAGCCCCCCAGAAATATACCATTAAATAATTAAATGTACCCTCCTCCCCATCTAAACATCAAAAACATAGATATAAACAAATATATTGATAATATAAAATAATAATAATTAAGAAAACATTTTATATTATTGTTATAACAATGGGTAAAACAACCCAGTGAGCGACAGGGAGTGAGACGGTGTGGAGTGGAAATAAATGGAGTAACTCGATGTTTCCTCGTATCGGTTGAGTTACTGACTCGTAACTTGGTAAACTCATATTTCGGGGAGCTCGTATCTGGAGGCCCCGCTGTTTTCTTGTGTGTAGGTTTTAGCTCTTTAAAGTGGAAAGATGTTGAGATGAGATTATGAAGTCCTGGGATTTTATACACGTCAGTAACAGTTTCTATCACTAGGCACTTAAATTAAAAAAAGAGGTAGGCTGAATCAAAGTATTGCCAAATATGACTGTAAATGCTAACTGTTTCAGCTGAACAGACATTTTTGTTGTAGGAAATAGTGCGGTTCATAGTGAGTCAGTGTGAAGTTCTCGTGTCCTTTAGCATCTCGCTGATAAATTATTCATCAACTGTGTTTCTATATTTAGTGAGCAGACAAGTGTAGCGTCAGCGCCTCCATGCTGTTATGAGAGATGTGGATATTTTAGCATCTGTTCCACGCATTTATTTTTACCCAGTGGAAATTCACCAGTTTTTTTTCCCAATGGATTTCTGCAGAAACCGACTCAAAGAAACCCCAAGACTTGCCCCACATTACTTGGCGCTTGTCGTAAATGTGGTAGTTTTTTTTTTTTTTAACGAGTTTCTTGTTTCTGTCAAATCACAATTAATGAGTCAACTCTTATTTCGGGCTCCGAATACGAGAAAGTGTTACTCATATCCCTGGACAGTCCTGTGACTCAGATCTGCAGTGATGGCGGTTACAGTACAAACGTGACTGCACTGTTTATCCATAACGACGGCTACTGTATCTGTTCTGGCCACAGTGTATTTTAAAACAACTGTCTCATCAGAACTCTCCGGTCTGCGCGTGTGTGTGAGGTCACAGCAGCTAAAGTAAAATGACTTCAAAAGAGCTTTGCTTTATACGTTAAGACTTAGAAGAAATGGACATAAAACAAAACACAAATCCTCTGTTGGAACAGTGAAAAAAATTGACGTGATAAAACCCACCCAGTTGCGACTGATTACGGAGGGGAATAATCTGTTGACGTGATAAAACTCACCCAGTTGCGACTGCTTACGGAGGGTGTTTTTGTCATTTCTAATTTTGGTGGAGTTTCTGTTTTCAGACTCTAATCACGACCCAGACTGAGAAGGAAACTGCTGCTCCTTGTCTCGCTTATTAGCCAAGCATGTAAACTTCTGGTACTGGAGGTTGACACGACTGCACAGACACAACCCTGCAGGTCATTACAGGCAATGCAACAAATGTTAAGAGTTAAAGGACGATGACAAAGTGTTTTCAGTCTGTGCTCTGGGCTTTTCTGGAATTTTCTGTGTCATTGAGTCTTTGCTCCGACAGCTGTGGCTGACGTGGGTCATAGTGAAGTCTCCACGCAGGAGCCGTTTCTGTGCAGGGACTGGTGGTCGTGGTTGAGGCAGCCCTCGTTGCGATGTACAATAAGCACCGGAAAGTGCAGAGCGTCCTGATAGGTTGGAGGGTTCTCCTCACCGGACTGCTGCCCTGACAGACATCTCGTGCTCTCCGTGGGACAGGAGCGCTCGTTCAGACTCTCGCTGCTCCTCCACAGGCAGCTCCGCCTGGAGCCGTACAAGCGGCCCAGTGAGAAGCGACTGGCGCTGAAGGGGATACGTGGGCTTCCCGTGTTGCAGATGCTGAGGGCGCTCCGAGAGAAGATGGAGGAGCTGCTGATGGCCCGATGGCAGCGTTCACAGTTCTGCCTGTAGCTGCCGTAGCTTCCACAGACAGAGTAGCTGTTTCCAGAGAGCTGGGCCAGGTCCATTAGAACAGCCTCGGAGTAACTGGGCACCAGCTGCTGGTTGGAGCGAATGTGCCACTCCAGCTCTGTGCTGTCAATGGTGTTGACGCGAGGAATATGTCGGCAATATGGCCGCTCCTCGGAGGGTGTCACTGGAACGTAGTCAAAGCCAAACAGTTTCTCTACGTGGTAGTGTACACAGGCGGTGCGGTACTCCATCAGAACACGCAGAGGCCAGGACACGGTGAAAGCAGCTGCCACCCAAAAAGTGGAATGAGACAGGTACCAGGGAAGGTGGTCGGGGTCAGAAAAGGCAATCATGTACTCTCTAAAGTCTACATTCTTCAGATGCATTCCCTCACGAGCCTCCATGTAGTCGTCCAGACCCTCGTTCTCCGTAAAGAACCTGGCCCGCTGGGTTAGATAGGTATTTTCCGATTCGATGCTAGCAAAGCTGAAGCACTTTGTGAACCTCAGCCGGGTGATTGGGAAGCTCTCCAGACCCAGCAGGTACTTTGAGATGTCCTTAACCCCGCAGTTCCCGTAGTCAAACTCTGCCTCTGCCACGTGGGTGTTGACTCTCTCGTGGTAAACCTGTGTGGTGCTGTAGGCATCTCCGTTTCGGTAGCGCGTCACCTGCCGGGTTCTCCGGACATAGTGGTAACTGATGGCCTTCCACCAGATGCAGGGCGTGGCCTGCTGCATGCGCTCTATGCGCTCTAGCACGGTGTCCATGTCCACCTTGTACTGCAGCTCGTTCTTGGCGTAGCAGTGCCAGCACTCCACCAGGTAGACCACGTAGAGCATGACCAGGAAGGCCAGAGGGATGTAGATGTAGCCGTTGGAGCAGGGACTGTCATGGTACATCATGGACTTCCCCTTGTAGGCGCTGTCGAAGGAGAGGCGTGTGACCGTGGTCACCTGGCACCAGGCCATCACCCCGATGCAGCCGTACATGAGCAGGGACAGAAGAAGACATTTCCAGTGTGTCTCCTGACACAAGGATTGAGACAGGGACTGTTTATGAGGTCGCTGCTGCAGAGGGAGAGAAAAAAAAAAGTCAGCAGAAAGTCATGGTGTAACAAAACCATAGACCAAATGTAGGAACTGGATCAAGTCCAGCTGCAGAAGTTGGTTTCGCAAAGTGCTTTGCCTCGACAGAAGTGATGCCAAGTTCCGTTCCGCCAACAGTGTCAATTAATTATATCATTTTATTTAGATAAAAAATAAAACACAACTCAAGCACCGGTTTTGACTGACACATCAACGTTGCCTGCCAGGACAGGATCCTATTGGATAGTGCAGCGGTCAATCACTCAAGAGGTCAACTTATGTGCACTGCCTTCTGTCATGCTTTATCTTCTTTTTTCCTTTAAATCAGATCATAAACAGTGACCCTCAAGAATATCACTTTGTAAAGAGGGTGTTCAAATGAAAAGCTTCTTCCATTTCCAAAAAAAGATCTACAATGTTAAAAACAGATTATCTCTTCGAGGAGCGAGACACCTGATTGGTTGAAACAACTGTGATTCAATGGGTGAACACAGAAGTGCGTATAAAATTAGAAACACTCAAAAAGCAGCGGTTTCCCCCGAATAAAATATTCAAAAGACATTTTGACTGCACTGTAAGTGCTTTTACGTGGTTTATGCATGAGCTGCGAGCCAATCGCTAATGTCGTGATCCGTGCCGTGGCAGAAAACCGTCGTGATAGCAGTTTAAAAAGCTAACATTTATCTATTGTTGTTGGTTTATATTTATCTGTTGACAAATAGCTGTTTCTTTGTGTTTAGTATTGTCTATGTTTAGTTATTTTTTTACCCACTTTTAGTTAAATTCAGCTGATATTTTTAATGTGTGACAATTAAAAAATGAGGGACACCTTGTTTTTTCAAACGCATGTGTTAAATTAAATGTTATGTTCAGCCTGGTTAATGTCTTTACACAAAATATGATAGGTGAGAATTAATAAAAAAAAGGAGGATCAAGTCTTAACCACACACACACACACATTTAATGTCAAGCCAGCTAGAACACAGCGGTGTTTTCCTTTGGCCACACAGAGCTGGTGCCATCCTTAATCACCTCTGGGCACAGCGGGCCCCCGGTGCATACATCAAGAACCAGTCCCGCCTTCTGGGATCACTGCTGCACAAACCTGGCAGAGATCCAAAAGCCACGCAAGGAAAGACGGATTATAACCACGTTCGTTTAAAAGATTAGGCTAGGAATGTTTTGTGCAAGTGTTCTGAAGATTTAGAGCTGACCTAGTGCCAAGGTGACCGATGATGAACCAAACCTTAACCTCTTTGTCTCTCTACACAGGTCAGAGTTGGACGTATGAGTGACCACCACAGTCAAAGGACCAGCATCGCCGCATGGATGTGTTGAGTCCGGGGTGTCGGCTTTGTGCTCTTTTGGTGACAGGCTAGCATAAATAATAGATGCTATTTCCTCATAATTATCCTCCACACCTTGGTCACATGGTCCCAAAGTCCCTGAACAACCCGGGGCTGCACCCCAGGGGGCAGTCAACCTACTGCAGATGAGAGCATTTACTCAGTAGCAGTGGGAACGCTCTGCACAACAATAATAAATAAGTTCTCGCCTTACATTTCACTGTCTGTTAAAGCAGTTTTTTAAAGTTAGAAAATATGACATGCAGTTAACATTGAGTTCGTTAAAGAGATGAAATGTTCAAGATTGAAAAAGAAAATGTTTTTCTCAGCTCATCTCGCTATTTTCCTTAACTTTAAATATTTTTGAAGTCTCATATCTGGCTAATTTCTTTGTCATGGCTAACCTTTAGCAATTTTTTTTTTGTTTTTGACTAAATACTGGACAACCATTTTACCTTATGAATTTCTTTTTACCTTAACAATATCAATTAATATAATTTTCTTTTCTATATTGGCGGCTAACCATCTTGCTGATTGGTTACATTTTAAAACACAAAGTGCAGTTCAAAGTCATTTTTTAACATTTACTATTCATTGACCGTTTAAAGTCAACGAAAACAAGAGAGAAGCTTCTCACGCTCTTGGGCACTTTCTTTTGACATAATAGGATCAGCGACTTTACAGAAAAAAAAACATCCCCGTGAGTAATGAATGGATCTGTAACTTGTTTGACACGTGTGTTTGTAGGGCAGGTTCGCGCAGTAGCTGGGAAGTGAAAGCTATTTTAGAACTGTTGTTTTTCATTACCCAGGCAACAAAAGATTCTTCTGCTCTGTGGACAAAAGGCCTGTGTTTGAAAGCAAACGAAGAAAAAGGAAATGTATTGAATTTATCATTTATTTTCTCCTTTGTCAAAGTAACTAAAAATTGAAAAAAAAAGAAGTAAATATTAAAACCGCTATGATTTTCAGATGAAATGTGAACGTGAAGATGTAAATACAATGATGAACGTGCATTAGTGGATTATTTGAGAAAGTAATCCTTAAAGTGTTTTATTTTTTTCCTTCGTTTCTTTGTTCCTTTGTTATTGTTGTACTGGTTTTATTTAAATTTTTTGACATGCAGAGAAGCCACAACCCCTATTTTGGACACCAGTGGAAACAATAGTCGGACAATTATGAACGTGCACACACGTGTTCGGACGAATTATTCAGAAATGCTGCGTTCACACTCACTCACATAAAAAAACCAACCATCCCATAATAATCCCATCGTTATATTGTGATCCATTGTGATTTCAACACAAGCTGTTAGCCGTTGTTGTAATGGTTTGTTAATCGAAAAACAGCCGGTGTTTCTGTACCTCCTCTCGGGGACTCTCCGTCTCCTCTCCGGGTAGAGCAGCCGTGGTCGCGGTGGTGGTGCTTTCACTGACCGGTGCAGCCGATGCTGGAGACATGGTGATGTAAAGCGTGCACAACCCGGTGCATGGGTGGATCTGCTGGTGGGATGGGGGGGTTCCGAGTGAGGCTGAAACATAACCGAGAATCCCTGTCTGTATCATCCACAGGGTGAAGCGACTACAAGCAGCACCATCCCGCAGACAACATCAGCAGCAGCATCCGCAGCAGCAGCAGCATCAGCATCAGTATCCTCCAGGTGAGCAGACTCAAACTCAAACGGAAATCCCGTCACTGTGCCAGACTAGACCCGCCGAACAGAGCCAGACTCCTCCCGTGGAGAGATGATGGGGTCGGTGATGAGGACACTGTTGGGTGAAGGGATGCTGGGGGGTGTGGGGGGGGAGAGAGGTGAGGACCGTCAGGTTGATCTCTGCTCCCACACTCCGCAGACAAACACACACACACAGACAGCAGTGACGCTGTGGAGCAGCAGGACAAAAGGCGACACGTGTGTGAGGAGCCAACCCCATCACAACAATGACGGTATCTCTCACACACACACACACACACACAAACACGTCTCTCTATAGGTGTGAAGACATTAGTTCATTCTTTATTATTGAATATTATTATTACTCACCGTAAACAACCTGTATTATTGTATATTATATTCACTGCACATATATATTGCATTGATGAACGTTATTGTTCTACAGGCCGTGGAACCCAAACTGATAGAGAGAGGGAGAGAGAGAGAGAGAGAGAGCATAGACGATATATAATACGCCATTATTTAAAATAACGTTTCATATTAACCCTGGTTTAATGTCGTTATTGTTGCCATTATATATATAAATATAAAGATATATAAATCGTATAACTTAAACCAAATTTCCTTAGCCCCTTGCAGTACCTGCGTAGACTCTTTAGGGGTCGTGGAACCAGAGAAAACTAGTAAAAGACACATGTAAAAACTCTGGAATAACTATCAGACGTGCACTGGAAAATCACTTAAAACCATCACTACAATCCTTTGTCTCAGGTCATTGGCATTAATGTCATGGTCAGTCCTGAGTAATTTTATTATTATTATATTTTATCCCTAAACAAGTAAATGTTCTGTTATAACCATCTCAAACCTTTGAGGATTTCTAGTCATTTCTGGTGTAATATTTTTTTCCAGAAAGTGAAAACATCTGAAAATCCTCAGACTGAGACTAATAATGACTCAGTTCAGTGTTTTTCCTGTTTGATTTGCAAAGACTGACTGACTGACGGGAAATCTCACCACAACCACATTGACCTGAACTGACCTTTGTCTTCAGCTGAACTCACGGGAGCTGTCGAGTGATCGAAAGATAAAGCTTCTACGTAGAGAAATTCTTTTCATTCCGCTCATCTGTGCATGCTTGTTTACCCAAAAAACCCATTAATTATGCAACGGTGGCACGAACGCCATTGTACAGACATTGGACTTCAGTGCCTGAATATAATGGAGAGAGTAAACATAACCTTAGATGACATGAAAACAGATGGTAGGTCTTGGCAGCAGAAAAGTTCTCCCTCCCTTCCTCCCCTTCTTTCTGTCTCTCTCTCTGTGACAACCAGTTTTGTTTTATGGACAAAATTTATGTTGGATCTCTAAAAGCCGAGAGCGGTTGCTGTGTAAGTGAGCCCTCTAACGGCCAAACCGCAACAAACATTTCCCCAAAAATAGAAAAACAAAACAAGGCATCCGGTAATGTTGACAGATTTAATGACTGGTATCACTGGTATCAACACAACATAGTTTTAATTTCAGACGCTCGAGTATTTGATTTATAGCATAGTCTAATGATTTTAGCTCAGACTTCAGCTCAAATACTAGCCTAATGATTCTGAAAAGATATTTATATTTAACCGAAAGTTATACACAACAGAAGAAAATTACAAAATACAAAAAAAATTGTATAAGGCGTCAGCAAAAATCATTCAATTTCAACAACAATAAAGAAGGAAATTACTCTGGGTCTAAAAAGCCTTCGTAGTCACAAAAAGAAAATGAAAAATAAATATCCAGAAATAGCACATGTTCATTTTCTACTTGGACTCTTTGGCAACACTGTTTTCCCAGAAAGTTGCTGCAAAGGTCTCTTTATATTCATTTGATATTTATTTACTTTATATTCATGATAGATTTTTACCAAAGAAAAGCAAGTTCACGGTTCTGCCTTGTTACATCCGTTACATCAAAACGAATCTAAAAATGTGTGGCATCAGGTTCAGAGAAGTCAGAACACATGAACAACACTTTCAGTCGTTTGAAAAACACTTCCTTCTAGCTGCAAAGACAAAAACATTTGTCCAAACATAAGCTAAAAAATACTTCCTCATACATTCACACAGAACAACCAACAATACAAGCACGTACACACACATTTTAATTATAGCAAGGCTTTGCACCTTCCAGAATGAATGTGTGTCTGCTGTGTCTTGTAAATGTTATTAGAATTTAAAATACTATCACTATATCCGGTGGCAACACTGTGGAGAGGTGGTTAACCCTGTTGCCTCGCACGTCCTCTAACTGTTTTTGGAGTCTTTGCGTCTTCGCTCATTGTGTGCACTGTTTATTTTTCCTGTACTGTTTCTGTTTCCTTGTTTATGAAGGGACTGAGCTGCGTGAACTTTGAGCGAACTGTGAGTTTGAATAGTTGCAGTTGTAAACAGTCTTTTGGGCGTAAGCCTTTTAAATACATAATTAGTCACTTCTAAAACCATAACAGTACTTTCAGTGTTTGCCCTGGACTTCAGTTTTTAAATGTTAAAGGGAATCACGTCTCTTCCTTGCGCTTAATTGTAAATTCCCCGTACAAAAAAAAAAAAAAGATAGGTACCTGTACCTTGATAAATTCACGAACTAACATTTATTCAAGTAACGTTCACTGAGCAAACACGTAAATCAGTTCCTTGCGGTTAACGGCTATTTCTTGTACTTTATTTTGAAACCGGATGTCTACTCTCGGACGTTTTATTTTGAAAGTCATCACTTTCCCCTGACGTGTTCCTCGTGTGTATATGTTTGCGCGCGTGGCCGCGTCATGTTGACGTCCACGCGCACTGGGGATTCCCCCGTGTGTCAAAAACAGCTCAGCCTTTCTCGGGTAAACTCTTCGGCTCCTCGACTCTTCAGCTCCTCAGTTCCTTCGTCGCTCCTCCGCTGCTCCTCCGCCTGGAGCTCACGCTGTTCACGGATACCCACACGACGCGGTGCCCCCGACTGTTGCCGACCGACTCTGTGATGAGCTTGAAAAAGATTATAGAGATTTGAAAAAAAAAAAAAAAAAAGAGCCAAATGGCAATCGTTTGTTGAACGTATTATCTGTAAGTGGAATGAAACTCAGCGGCTTTCTCTCTGGTTTCAAGAAAAGGAGCGGTGGTTTCCTTGGTTGTCTGTCAGAGGGCTTTCCCCGGAGTCCGGTCACATCGCCGGGCACCGAGTGGCGACGACTACCGCCAGTAGCCGACAAAGTCCTTCGGGAAGGAGGGGGGAAACCCACAGATCTACGTCCACCATGTCCGGCCACGGCTGTAAAGACGACTCCCTGGACTTTGGTGTAGAGAACCGCACGGACTCGGGTATTGACTCGTACCGATCCATCCTGAAGTCTGAAGAGCCCCAGGAGTCTGGTGACATTAGTGGGCCCAGGGAGAAGTTCTCCGCCGTGGAGGAGCGGCTGGACTCAGCCTACGGCTCCTCGTCCATCACCGGGGAGAGTTTATCGGAGCTGGTGCAGAGCTGTGAGATCTCCAGCGTCCAGGAGGAGCAGGAGACACAGAGTTCTGAGCTGTCGGAGCAGGAGGAGAACCTGCTCACCACCATCACTGAGGAAGGAGACACGTAAGTTTCTTTATGGCTCACTTGATTAATTGCGATTCACAAAATTATTGCATTTAAAAAAAACAAACAATCGCTGCTCTGGTATGTATAGTTTTCAGGTCAACATATTTTTGAAAATATAACCCATGCATTTTCTAAAGTGTCATCATAATGAACCGGTGATTTTTCTGCTGTATAATTACCATTAATGGTAATAACAGTGTTGATTGACGTTTTGCTCACAATAGCTGCCCTGTTCTCTCAAGGAAAATTTAATCTTTCATAATAATGGATAATCCATTCAGATAAGTGCCGCCTGGTTTTCAACATCACTGCTTCTCATTTTCCAGGATCTTATGTTTCCCTGTTTGACAGAATTAGCACCGTAGATAAAGTACAGGCCCAACAACTAAATCATTGAAATACGTGGTTAATAATTAATGCCTCTGTGCCTGAGCCTCACACTGTACTAGTTTGCAGACACTTGTGCTCGGATCTACTATACTGTCTCGGCTCTTAGCTAACCCAGGAGTGTAGGGAAATACAGAAAGAATCACAACTTTTTTTTTTTATTTACATATTTTTTGAATTCTTAAAAATACAAATTTAAAAAATGCAGCCACTTTACTGCAATACTGCCTAGTTATAGGCAATGAGTATTTGAAGTAAATACTATATTTCACCGCAAGTGCATACATGTGTGATGTAAATCAGAGTTCAGATGTCCGTGTTGAGTAGAGCAGAGAATATTCATGATGTTAAGTATCAGATGTTCGTGTTGAGTGGAGCAGAGAATATTCATGATGTTAAGTAGAGAGAAACTGCAGGATAATGGGCTGTTGGTGCAAAATCAAGATCGCAGCCCTTCTGGCTAATGCTAAATAAATAACGTCGTCACCGAAGTGTGGTGGCAGAGGTTTTCGGGGGTTTACGGGGATTTTATTACTGTGTGATACTGCAGACTTTTTTTGGGGGGCGTGGGGGTGAATGAACTTTGTCCTTGTCATGAATGTGGATCCACTCCTGCGAGGCGTCTCTGAGCCAGAAAACAGAAGTGAAACAGATAGGCCTGGACTTCCCCATGCAGCTCAGACAAAGCACATGCTGTGAGGCAGCGCAGTGGCGTGCTTTTGATCCAAGAGAACTCGTTGATCAGGATAGCACGGTCTGCGTATGTTTTTATTGTTGTTTCCCATAATCCAGCAGCTGCTTTTTCTTTCTTCTTTCACTCTTTCTTTTTCAGGCTTTAACCAAACCGGACGTCCAAAAAAAAAACAAAAAAAAAAACCCCAAACCCATTTGGTTAACAGTGTTTTTTTTTTGTTTCTTTTTTTTGCTGCAGTTCGAGTCTCACTTTGAGTGAAGGAAACTGCAGCGTTTTGCACACATGTCAGCCTCCCTCCCCTCACACACACACACACACACACACCCACACACACTGCATCACCAGTAGATCTACTTGTGGCACACACTCATCTGCAGTGTTGCCGTGTCATCACTTTGCTCCAGCGTTGAAGCAGCTTGTGGATGACTGTGGTGGAGCTGCGTGTTACGGCGGCTGGTACAGTTAGTGCGGGAGATGTTGATGTGCGTACGTGTGTGACCTCTTTTCGTTTCCTGCCCTCTGATGGTTGGGGACACATGGTTTCATTCTCACAGTGTGACAGTAGACACCTGAGAGGAATTAAAAAAAAAACACACGCACGCACACACACCTGAAACACACACACACAC